GATAAGATGAAGATGATTTTGTTTTAAATGTAACTATAGATAAAAGATAAAATTGTATGGCAATTCATCTCGATTATTTTCTAGATAATAATTTTTAAGACTGCTTATATAAGCACAGTTATTTAAAAAAAATGTAAATTATAAAAGATATACGAAAATATATGTATTCATATTTTTATTTATAAATTTTTATCGCTTACTGCTTAAGTTCTACTATTTAAGTATTTTATGCTATGATTCTAAACCAAAATTATTTAAAAATTATTGTAGATAATTTAGAAATACATATTTTTATTATCTATATAAAGATAAGATGACGTCAAAACTTCATCTAGATGATCATCTAATATAATTTTCTTTAAATAACAGCAAACACTGTAAGTAGGTAATGACGTGCTTTTGGCGTGAAGTGTTTTCTCACAGTCTCACATGCAACGAATCGAGTAAAGGACAGAATATATTAGCGAACATTGTAGTAGAATATTGGATAGGAACACTATTGAACACACACGGCAAATTGGGCAGAAGAAAACATCTCGTTGTGCCTCCTTGAATCGCTAATCCGACACGCGTTCGTTTATACGATTTAGCGGTTATTATTCAATAAAGTGCCTATCACTGTGACAAATAACTGACCTTCCTTGTCAGTTTTATGACTTTGTCGTGGAATATCGAAGCGTCGAGCACGTTTACAGTGACACTGTTTACACTTCAGCAGATGTAAAGGTGAACGTGCTTCCTGTCTCGTTTTCAGGGTCATTGATATTAAATCGCAATTAGCAGTTCACGACGTTAAGACGGGTAAATGTAATTACTGTGTTTGTACACCGTGTTTTCAACGTTCTAATATGTAAATACACATAAAAAATAAACAGAAAATAATATATGCTTTTTGTCAACATGATATTCTTTGTTGAACTGAAAACAAAATTATCGAATTCGAATAAATATTAAATATTACCAGTTATCTAATAAATTATTTATTTGATAACTGATAATATTGACTAATAATATTGATTTGATGTGAAAAATATTTATTTGATATAAGAAAATTATTTTCAGAACAAATAAATATTTATTAATTTAATAATTTTTTTTTAATGTGGAAATAATTTGTTCGTGTATTATTTGTTATAGTTTCTGTATGTATTAAATACCATGGATAATTACGTGTTCATCAAATTCGAATTTTGTAATATTTAATACATTTTTTTCGTAAGATTAGCTGAAGAATTTTGTTATCTACATTTTTAATAATTTGTGTAAAGTTTTTCTCAATCGATTGCAATTCAGGGATAATTAATTTTATTATTAAGGAACAAGGAATAAATATCGTCATGCGCTCCTTTCACCGAACATCCTGTATTACCGCGAAGGAAGCGCATCCGGGCGGAAGAGAAGCCTAAGAAATTTTCGGGTTCGTTGAAGAAGAGATTTCGTTCACGTTGCGATATAGGTACGGGGGTACACTCGATTACAATGGTGGATAGATTGGTGTCTCGTTCCGTAACGGCACACCACAATGAGACGTAATCCAAGCTGTACGACGTAGATGGACCGTGTCTTTTCGTCCTGTTCACGTTGTAAGATTATCCCTTTTCTCCCTGGCATGACGCTCCATCCGGGATTTTCGATTCGCCCATATTCGGATCTCGAGAGCTTCGCCCGGGGGTAAGAAATTTGATGTGCCATCCTCTCGGGAATTTCGATCAGCGAAATACATCAGGCCGATAAGAGTCTTTGCCGCTAATGGAATAGCGAAGCTCGCTCTCCACCGACCTATGCAGCATCGCCGCACGATAAGGAACGTTGCCAAAACGACATGAATGAAAAATGATATTGTGCGCTGGCCAATACGAGGCGATTCGTGTGCGTTCTTTTATCCCGCGATTTAAAGATATTTGCTATATTTTCTGCAACAATTCATCGTTAGATGAAAACTTATTACACCGAGAGATGGTTAAATCCAGCGAAATATCGGGACTTTTTCATCATTCGATTAAATGAAGACAAGGCTATAAAATTGAGGATAAATAATCCGCGATAAAAATCTTATTTTAATAGAAGACATAAATTAAAAAAATTATATTAAAAAATCTTAATAAAAAAATATGATGTGAAGAAGTGGAGTTTATATTTACTATAATGTGAAATAATCTGATAAAAATCTTATTTTAATAAAAAAAGAAAATTTTAAAAATTTTATTAAAAAGTCTTAAAAAAATAAAATATGAAAAAAAATATGATTTGAAGGTGGAATTTAAAATTTTCCTCAAAGAGGACGTTTTGGAACACAACCTGTAATGTACAATAATCTGATGAAAATCTTATTTTAATGAAAGAAATAAATTTAAGAAATTATATATTAAAAAATCTTAATAAAAATCATAAATAATACAAATATGAAACAAATGTGATATAAAGATGGAGTTTATATTTACTATAATGTGTTGACGCGAATGAATGCTTCTTGGCTAAGTTCGTAACCTTCGAGACATATATGGTGTGATTGTGAAAATGGAATTCTGAATTAATTCACTTTCGCACTTATATATATAGACATACATATATCGTCAGTGCGTAATGGTACGGGCGAGATTCAATAATGCGGGTCTCGTGTGTGACAAATCGCGTGTGACGCTAGGAGCCGTCTCTGGCGGATGACTTCAATCAATTAGGGGCGCTCGTTCGCTTAAATCAATTATCTGTCTCCCTCTGGTAATTTATACGATTATTAGGTACTTATCGAACCGATCCGCGCGATCTTAACTTATCGATTTTCGATTGACAGATTAAAGAGCACGTTTCTGCTTCTCGGCGACGTGGCTTAAACAAGACCTGGTTCTAGTTGCTTGACGACAAAATAATTTGCATGATAGGAAGTAGTTCCTATCATTATAATGAGATAATTACGCGACCTCGATTATCTTACGTATTTATTTTCATAAATATACTAGTTTTTTTTATTTTTTACAGATGTTCATAGAACTTATACGATTCTTATGAGAGAAATAAAGCATTGCAAATTATTTCGAAATATCATTAGAATTGTTAATATGTGCAGCTTAAATTAATCTTTTTTTCTTTATTATTGATGCGTAATAATTATGTGCTCATTGGTAATGAAAAATGCTGAAATGAGTTTCCTAATTACAATGTGTTTTATAAAAGATTAGAAAGTATTTTTGCTAAAATTCTTCTTATTTTTAATGCTTTCTTTGTGTGTGTGATTAAAGACAGGATTTAAATAAATTACTCGAAAATATATAATAACTTGATTTAAATCATCTTTCTCTGAATTTATATTTTAGTGATTTTATAGTATGTTTTTCATAGTTTTTAATCGTTTTGTGATGTTGATTTTTGCAGTTTTTATGCTAATATCGTTGCTTTTCAATTTTCGCGGATTTTCTTCTCGTTTTCTTATTCTCGCAATTTTGTTTAATTAATTATTTTATATTTTTTTTCAATTCAACAAATTCTCTGATCATAGGATTTGTAAAAAAGTTTTGTGACGTATGTACAAAAAAAGTTTTTGTATTTGCATGTAATAAAAATTCTTTAAAGTTGAAAGAATACATTGTCAATTACACGCGTGAATTACACATAACTATAATTTTCTTAAGTTTATGTGCTTATTATTTTCTTGTGTCCATAAAAGAAAGATTTGCTAGATGTAAGTGTAATGTAATGTTTGCACAAACAAAATTGTTTTTATTTTCTCAAACATGTCAAGGTTCTATACTATTTATTATATGACACGCGCACAACAATTTTACATATATATACGGATAGTTACGTATATATAATTATTGTGTTAACGTAGTGTGAAACACATTGTAGCATTATGAATGGACAATGGATACTTTGTGAAATTGCTATATAAAACAAAATTACTTTTTCAAGGAAAGCAATATAGTGCTTACGTCATTGTTCTTCTTTTCTCGATAATTGATTGATTAATCATTGCGAACGCTGCACGTTGTCACTCAACACTTCAATGAGCTCTTATTTGATGATTGTCCAGATTATTGAAACTTTATAACGAAAAATCAATTTATAATAGTTAAAATAATGATGTAACAGTTTGGGAACATGAGCATACAACAATATACATAACCATTTACAAGCATATACAATTGTAATCTGTTTACGAGTACCTCTTGTTAAAATACGAGAAAATTATATGAACATTAAAAGCATTATTTCTAAATATTATTTTTATTAAAATTTATAAATCTGGTTCTTTTGTATAAATTGTTTTAATAATAATAAATGCGAAATTCATATTCTTGCAAAGTGAAAAAATTTCATCTTTAGCAAGTAAAAAAGTTGATTACGTCTGCACGATTATGCAGAAAAATCTTTTATCCCAAGAATTAACAAAAAGTCTGGATCTAATGTTTACGCGCAAAATAGCTGAGTTTCTTAAATTTTCTACATTTTCTTCTTCCATTGCACTAGAATCTTAATTTGAAATTTCGCTTTTCCACATTGCATAAAAAAGATATGAATATAAATAGAATAGTGTCCAAAGAAATAGGTGTTAAGAAAAAGCTTGATTTGGAATTTGATTAGAAAATCTACAGAGGAAGAGGCAACACAAATTCAGGTCACCTTAGATTCGAAGAACCACTTCTTTAATTTGGAGCGGTGGATCCGAAAGAAGTTACATATCGCTATACATATCGATTTTAATGACGATTGTTTCTCGACGATGTGAAAACCGAAAATGTGTCCGCATGATGATACGGAAGATGGCACGCAGGTGATCCATTCGGTAGAATGGAAAGGTATTACTTACACATATGAAAGGTGGAAGCCCCGATCGTGGGGCGGCGACCAGGAAACCCGATTGACCAGGAGAAGGAAGAGACGAAGCTGTATCGTCGCTTCAATATTTCTTGGCAGTTGCGCGCGAACCATCGAGCGGACTGGAGTGTTCTCTCGCTGTCTCTGTCGATGGTGATCTTGTTCTCCGACTGGAATTCGACGGTACGTGTCGTGGAATAAAGAAAAGTCCAAGCAGTTACGGATACGAGAGATACCTACTTATTGTGTGAGTTCGGATTTAGGCGAAATTTAAGATGCATTAGTTGACTTTGTTGATTTGAAAAATTTGAGATTTGCTTTCGCAAAAATAATTTAGATTAATATAATAATTATTATGATATAATATAATAATTATAATATAATAAATTATATTATAATATAATAATTATAATATAATAAATTATAATATAATAATTATTATATATGTGTGAAGGAGTCTTTCGATATTCTTCTTGGAATCTTACGTATGAATTTGTAATATTATTACTGTGGCACAAATGTAAATATAAATATGTGAAATAAGGGTAACACTTATATGTGGTATATTATCTGTTTTATAACAGCAGTTCCACGGAATTAATAAATTTTATAGTAGAATTGAAATGTTTGAATATGCGATTAAGTTAAGGTAGGTTGTTTAAATCTTTTAACGGATAATGCAAGAGATCTTAATTAGTGCATGTGTTAATTACTGTACATCAATATATTGATTTATTCAAATTAATAGAAGCTTATTAAAGTATAATTCCATTTGATAAGAAAGTAAATTCTACAATATTATGATATAATTTAAATAAATGTTTAAAAATATTTTTCGAATATAAATATATGAACGTAGTGCCTCCTTGCGAAATGACTTGAGTAATCTTGAATAATAGACTAGTAGGATGGAGAATATGAGGATATGTATATAGTGTCAAGAAATGAAAAAACGGAGACTTTTTTTAATGCAAGAGTTTCTTGTAATTTACGACAATAATGGGCCCGAGATTCCAGGAAATTTGCAATTAACTTTCGTAGCGATTTTAGCGGTATAACTCTTCAACGACAATCTTCAACATCGATATAAATCTTCATCAACGATATGAAGTGTGTACGTGATGTGTCCATTAATGCACCGGCAATACATCAAAGAACACTATATACAATACTAATACAGGCTATTTAAAATCATCTTACATTTTTTTGCGACGTAAAACATGCACGACTAATTATTTCGCGGTTGTTTTCAACGAGGAAGCGCAAGTAATTTACACTGGCAAATAGTTTACTAGTGAAAAGTAAACCGTCGACAGGTGGGAAACATGTGGACAACTGTTTATCTTGACGATTCACGATATAAAGTGTTCGCTAAATTTGACGTAGCGTTTCATTTAAATTCAAATGAACAAATTAGGCGCGCGTGAGAACATTTCGTTTTATACTTACATAATTGTGGCAAATGGATACGATGAGTATCTGTGTGAAATGATATGCATATATATTCTGTTCTATACTTTACTTTATATAATTTAATTCAAGAATATATGCATACATGTTAGGATATATTTTTATAAGGAAGTTTTGTCAATTTTATTTTATTTACGCGACACCATTTCGCACAACAGTCATCTTTTATTCAAGCTGCACCATTGTCTCGGTTAGTATGCGAAGATTGTGTGTGTGTGTAAGACTATTTCACGTTGGTGCAAGAACCTTACATCAATTCAGGCACGCCACTCGCGTTTCCTTGACACGCTCACTCGAAGCGTTTGGAACGTGAAATTACTTTCAATGATTGGTTGCCTCCACACGATTTACGCGAGATAAAAAAGATTTGTATGATGTACAATGATCTTGCGAAAATTATATTGCTCTTGTTTTGACACGTTTCATTGTGAATTCAAATACTTTTTTACAATTTTAAAATTTGATATATTTGTAAGTCAAAGTGTTAAATTGTCTCAATTATTCATTTTCTGTTTTCTTTATGCACATCTACTTCGATTAATTTTAATATAAGTATATTAATATTTTTCTTCGGTTTTATAAAGTGAAACAGATCTACACTTACTGTCTTGATCTACTAGAGAATTAATTTTATACAAAAAAATTATTAAATTCGAATAAATATTTATTTCAATACTTTTTAATAAATCATTTATTTGAAACTAATAATATTGATTTGATGTGAAAAATATTTATTTGATATAAGAAAATCCTTTTCAAAACAGATAAATATTTATTTGTTTCAAATAAATAATTTATTCGGCAGTATTGAAATAAATATTTATTAATTTAATAATTTTTTTAAGTGTACACATACTGCGTGCGCGTATTATATATCAATATTAAATATATATATATATATATATATATATATATGCAAAAGAAAATAAATAAAAGTTTAAATTATGTTGACATTTTATGAATTTCTTTACATAGCTTTTATACATAGCTTTATATATAATGTCATTTATTAAAATTTAAAAGAAACAAACAAAAAAAATAGTTAACATAGAAATAAGTACGTGTAGAATTCTTTTGAAGCAACATTGACACACAGGTATATTGTAACGACATTATACGTTATCTTTGCGTTATCTTTGCAAATTATTTTGACCGAGTTTCATATGCTGTTTCATTGTACGTAATATTAAATATGCTGTTCCGCATGCTATTTTATGTGTTAAATATCTATATGAGAATATTTTATGTGTTAAATATCTATATGAGAATGTTTTTGCTTTTTTCTTCCTCTTTCTCTCTCTCTCTCTTCTCTCTCTCTCTCTCTTTCTTTTTGTTTATTTGTTAATAAAATGATAATAGGCATACCGGTACATAAGTCTATTTAGATATAATTCAAAACAGTTAAATTTTCCTATTATTATTGTTTTCACAGATTCGTATATTATCTGTTATTTTTAAATTATTATAATATAGTCAAAAATACACGCGACCTTTCATATAATGCTGTTATGATATCATACACATATACAGAATACCTCGGAATCCTTGACTTTGACTTTAGTAAGGGAAACCTTGACAAATTTTATACATAAAGCAAAATTTCGAAGGGGATTTATTTATCTTAGAGTTATTTTCAGTATTATATTCAGTATATTTCAGTAACATTGATATTACTAATAAAATAATACATACTAATTAATAAAACAATCAAAATTAATAAATGATAATAAAACAGTGAAATAAAATTCCGGAAAAATAAGCAAACATTTAAGTAAACGATAGCAATAAATGTATATAAAATAATTTTATTTTTGGTCTTCTATTAAAAGTTTAAAATAAAAATCTATATTTACATCAGACATTTATTAAAGATTATGTAATGTTTTTAGCTACATTGTGAGAGAAATACTAAAAATAAAAACATAAAAACAGATTAAGAAATCTACAAGCAGGTAAAATAATGTTATTGAAAAAAAATTTACTGTTATTTAAATTACGTAATTCTTCAAAGAAAAAATTATAAAAATAAATTGTTGAACTGATAAAATTTGCTACAGGAGCGTGTAAATGTAAAATAAATGGATTAATTAAAAGTTTCTATTAAGTAAATTATGTTAGTTAATTATGTAAAGTCATATCAGATCTGAAATAAAGTACAGCATTTAATTTATGATAAAATAAATATACTATATTGATTAGGAAAATAGTTTTGATATTTTTTATAATATTTTTCTATAATTTGCGCTTAAGATCAGTTTAATACTTATATATATTTAGATAAAAAATAAGTATATTAACACAATGACATAATATATACTAATAAAGCAGATGACGCAAATATAGATATTAGTTTAAAAATCACAATATATAATTAGCATAAATTGAAGGAAAGGAACTGAAAGGTGTGCATATATTTTTTTCAGGCTCACACATGATATGACTCAGTCCCGCGAGGTTTTGGCGATGATGGATGCGCACACAACCACGTTCGGACGCAAGAGAGGCTGTACAATTTCTCGTTGCGGTGCCTTCTTCTTGGGAGCATTTTTTCTGATTAGTCTGGTTGCCACTGGTCTATTGGTGTATCATTTTGCTCCTTGTCTCGAAGAGAAACAAGTCAAGCAATGCGACGACCTTTTCGTCGGCAGTCCGCTTTTGCCGAGCGGGAAGGGTTTTTCGCCAACGCCCGTGAAGAAGAAGATAGATGTCAGATTACCAAAGGCAGTTGTGCCCGATTCGTACGAATTATGGCTGATACCCTTCATATGGGAGGGTAACTTCACCTTTCATGGCGAGGTAATATTTCTCAATTTACAATATATTTCGTAATAAGTGAAATCTGAACGCGCTATAAGAAATATTTTTCTATATGCCATTATTTGTGCTTTTTTATCAGATTCAACTTGGAATTTGCACATTACCCATTTTTATAATTAAAACAAAATCAAAATAAATATATTTATTTATATAAAATATAATTAAATATAAATTATTTACATAATAAAATATTATAAAATAATAGCGAGAGAATATAAGAAAAATGCAAACTAAATGCTCAAATTTCTTATAATTTTTTTTAGAATTTTATAATATTTTCTGATTGTACAGATTATTTTACCAAAAAAATATAATTTTATTTTAACATGTAAATGTTATCGATTGATTATCGTAAGGAACAATAATTCTGTTTTGGCACTTTTAAAAATATTTGTTCCTTTTGTGAGATTTCGTCACGAGTTTAATTTATTGATGGACAAACCGGTTTAACTACTATTATAAACGTCAACTTTCTAGTAGAGAATTGAAAGAGTGTAATGTTTTTCTCTACATACTTAATTCTTAATTCTGTAAGTAAACCGTTACATAAGGAAAGGAACGCACTTGTAGTAGCACCTGTAGTAGCAATTGACAACCGTTCACTTTTATATATAGTATATCGAATCTATAGGAAATATAGACATATGGGCACACAAACCTCGTGCATTTTGATCTTAACTTTCCGTCAAGTTTCTTTTTCGTTCCTTTTCATTTTCGTCTGAATCATTTTTATCCTTGACATTTTTTTTCAAGTTGTAAGCAAGAAAAAGAATGTTTTGGTATCTTAGAATCACATAGAATGTTATTCTGAAATCGTGAAATGATATTAATGAGTTAACTAGAAGCTAAAAGAATAATTAAAAATACAATATTTAAAAATTTGAAGAAAATTGAAAAACACATTAATCTTACACTGAAAAAAATTATTTAATTATTCAAATAAATATTTATTTCAACACTCCTTTATAATCATTTATTTGAAACTAATAATATTGATTTGCTGTGTATTTGATATAAAAAATTCTTTTTCAAAACAGATAAATACTTATTTGTTTCAAACACAAATATGTATGCAAAAGGAACTATTAAAATAAATATTTATTTGAATTCAGATTCTTTTATTTTAGTATACAAATATGTTATTTAAAAAAATAGAAACATTTTTGATTTATCTAGGTCAAGATTTTGGTGAACGTAACGTCGGATACGAATAATGTCACGCTTCACGCCGTGGACATGATGATCGATGAGGGCTTTACAAATATCAGAGAGTACTCGGCTACCAGCAACAAGACTAAGATAATCAGGATCGTGGAGCAGAGAAACGACACCGACAGGCAATTTCACGTGATTAAAACGTCGGACACGTTGAGCAGGGGCAAACAATACGTGGTGCATCTCAAGTTCATTGGCTATCTGAACGATTACTTACAAGGTTTCTACAGAAGCTCGTACATGGTCGGCAATCAGACGAGGTAAATGGTATCGCGATGGAATTTTTACAGCCAATATAAATTTAGAGCCATTTCCTTGTACATTTAATTAAATGTGAAATTACATCCCGAGTAAACATTTTATAGCAAAATTATTTTATCTCTTGAGTTTGAAAATACATTATAAAAATTTTAGAAAAAGCGAATGTGAGCGCGTTGAGTGAGACTTAATAAAACTTGAATTTTTTTCAAGTTCGCAACACTTGTGCTGTATCTCTTAATTTTTAACGTTATCATAGTCGTCACGAAATATTCGTTATCGTTGCGAAATATTTTCGTTAGATAATATGTAACGGAAGTTGATTATACTTTAAAATGCCTCGCGTTGCGGTCGTGTGTTTGGCTTACATGTGGAGGCTCAAACAAGGGCTGCTGTCGGCTGTTTGCCAAAGGTATCTCTGTTTTGCATTATAGATGGATCGCCACAACTCAGTTCCAAGCGACGGATGCGCGTCGTGCTTTCCCATGCTTCGACGAGCCGGCTTTGAAAGCTAAGTTCCAGATCAACATAGCGCGTCCCAGAAATATGACATCTATTTCGAATATGCCTAGGAAAGGAGCACCGATGCCAGTGTGAGTATAATTATGTATGTCATACTTATATATACGGCACTACATTGTTAATTTTTAGCACAAAGTGTACAGAATATAAAATTTGATAATAAAATATGAAATAGCTTTTATTTGTTTGAGATATGTATATGCCTGATATATTTTGACAAAACTTACAAATTATATAAAAAATTGTATATTTGCTTGATTAAATAAAAAATAAAATTATAATTTACAGAATAATTTATAATATGTGCAGAATAAGACATACACAAAGTGGAATAAATTAATGTTTTCTTAAAAACATTGATTTAGAAAAATGATTTATCTATAAATGAGAATTTTAGAAAGAAACATTTTTATTATTTAACATCCAGGCCCGGTTTGCACACATATGTATGGGATCATTACGAACGTTCAGTACCGATGTCTACATATTTGGTCGCCTTCATAGTTTCCGACTTTGATGTACGGAGATCGGAAGATGGTAACTTTGGAGTTTGGGCACGCCAAGAAGCTATTAGTCAATCGCAATACAGCTTAAATATTGGACCGAAAATACTTAAATATTTCGAAGAGTATTTCCAGATCAAGTTTCCTCTGCCAAAGATGGATATGGTTGCGTTACCTGATTTTTCAGCCGGTGCTATGGAAAATTGGGGCTTAATAACTTATAGGTAAGGATATCAGATATTATACCTTCGTCGTTCCTCTTTTCTAATTTATTTATTTTGTATTATTGCTACATGTATGAAATAAAAAATATTATTTTATTTGTCAAAAGAATTTTGTATGAAAATTATCGAAATGTTTTATAATATTTTATAATTTATCGAAATAGTTTTATTTTGATATATTTTTTCTTTTTACATTTAATATTTAATTATCTATATCATTAAAAAAGATAGATGCAACTTAGAACAATATCACTTCATTTAGTGTATTTATGCTTAGATTTGATAGATAAATTACTATACTTGAGAAGATGGTACATAAGTAAGCTCATAAATATTTTTATAATTTTATTCGACGTAGAAATCATTTTATGTATACATGGGAACACATTTTTATAATAAAAAATATATCAACAATTATCTAAATTTTTAACTTAAGAAATAGTAATTAACAAAATAAATTATGATTGTAAATGAATAATGTTTCTTCACATCTAGATATTATGGTAAAGCAACAGCAAAATATTTGCTTATGATTGCTTCAAATATTAAAAGAATTTTTATTATACATATGTATAATAAAATATTTGTAAAAGATGGAAGAGAACTAATTTGTCATTTCGCCAATTAGAGAGACAGCAATGTTATACCAAGAAGGCGTATCGACCAGTACTAGTAAGCAGCGGGTAGCCACTGTGGTATCTCACGAACTCGCGCATCAGTGGTTTGGAAACTTAGTGACACCAAGTTGGTGGACAGATCTTTGGTTGAACGAAGGTTTTGCCAGTTACGTCGAATATATCGGCATAGATGCGGTAAGAACCGTTTTGAAACAGTGTTAAATTACATATTGCAATTAAAATGTAGCTCTGTTATATTATCAATTTAAATAATTTGAAACATGTTTAAAAATTCTACTATGTTATTATTATATATAAATAATATAATTTTTTGTTTCTGAAACATTCTCAGGTAGAACCATCATGGAAAGTCTTGGAACAATTCGTCATTCACGATCTTCAAAATGTATTTAGTCTGGATGCTTTGGAATCTTCTCATCCTATATCTATCGAAGTCGGCCATCCTGATGAAATTAGTGAAATTTTTGACAGAATTTCTTACGGAAAAGGTACTTAAAATTTGTATGCTATAATAAATCTAATTATAAGAAAAACTAGTATAGTCATATGTATCTACTGAAATTTTCCAGGTGCTTCCATAATAAGAATGATGGATCATTTCCTCACAACAAAAGTCTTTAAGCAGGGACTAACTAATTATTTGAAGGGAAAGTGAGTAAAAATTAATTAATATTTTCTATCTCTTTCAATACCATAAGTATAAATAAAATTTTGCAACTGAGAGTATTATTGTATATTCGATAGAGCTTATCAAAGCGCTGAGCAAAATGATTTGTGGTATGCTTTGACTCAACAAGCTCACAAAGACAAGGTACTTGAACCAAGCGTAACTGTTAAAGAGATTATGGATACTTGGACTCTGCAAACCGGCTTTCCTGTAATCACTGTCGCGCGAAACTACAACAACAATAGTGCAATGCTGACGCAGGTTTTTATAGATTAAATAATAATAAGATAAAATACCTCAATAAGTACAAAATTAAAATAAGTACAAAATTAAAATTAACTTGTCTGATTTATATAATCATTTTTATTTGAAAGAGAGACTATTACAAATTTTTTTTCTTATTTGGAAAGATTAAAAGGTACATAAATACAGCATTGCGGAACATTATTCGATTAATCATTTGCAATTTATATTTTAAGTAATTTTTTGTAATTGTATTACAAATGCATTATTTGTTTCTCTTAGGAACGTTTCCTGCTTCGTAATGGCACTACACAAGTTACTACTTCTCCATCGGAACCATTATGGTGGGTACCCATCACTTATACGAGCGAGAAGCAATTAAACTTTAGTAACACTCAACCTATTGCATGGATGAAAGCGGAACGTTCGATATCCTCAACGATTTGGGTGCAAGCTCGTCTCAGTGGGTACTTTTCAACGTACAAGAAACTGGTAATTATATCATGGTAGATAAAAACAATCATATTTTTAAGGTTTTTAAATCAAAGCCATCCTTTGATGCATTTATCATTTGTCTTCAATTTTTCAAGAAAATAAATAATCTTGATAAATAATCTTGAATTAATTATATACTAATATTTTAGTAAATAAAAATTTAGTTGCCTAGAAATGACATGAATTTCGAGATAAAAATTTGAAAAAAGGAGATTGTAAATAAAATTAAAAATTTCTTAATTTTTTTTTTAAAAGACAAGGTATAGTCTTGAAATGTTTTAAACAATAAAATCAAATTATCTGTTCTTTGCTTATTATGGAAACATAAACATCACATTGTAACATATTTATATAACAGGTTACTACAGAGTGAATTATGACAGAGCAAACTGGCAGATGTTAATCAAGCAATTAAACAAGCAAAATTTCAAAGATATTTCGACGATTAACCGAGCCCAGTTAATTGATGATGCTCTTAATCTGGCTCGAGCTGGCAAACTCGACTACAGCACCGCTCTCGATGTTACATCTTACTTGGCCCACGAAACCGAATATTTACCTTGGAAAGCAGCTTTCACTGCCATTAACTATCTTAATGACATGTTAATAAAAATGCAGGGCTACGATAAATTCAGGGTAAATACTCAAATAATCAAATAAAAATTTCAACAAAAAATTTTCATGCTTTAAACTGTTATAGCTATTTAATTCTTGGAATTCTTTCTGGTTTAATATTTTATTTCGATATGTATATATATATATATATATATATATATATATATATATAACGAAATTATTTATAGCTATATATTATTTTTATAAGTTAATTAACATTTTTGTTTGTGCATGATATGTAATTAAATAGTTCCATGTTATAAATAAATTTAGTACATGAAATTTTCAAGATATAAAATTGCATAGCTATATAATTATAGCTACGCAGATAAATATATGAATTTATACGCAACTCTCGATGCATAAACAAATATGTAATGTTCGAGGAATGTAAAATTTATTTACATTATTTACTATGAATCTATATATAATATAATTTTTAATATATTTTTCAGATGTACGTGTTGAAATTATTGGACAACGTGTACAAGCAAGTCGGTTTTGTTGACAAGGTGGGAGATCCTCAGCTGACAGTTTTTACTCGAATTGAAGTTCTAAATTGGGCATGCAATTTTGGTCATGAGGACTGCGTAAAAAACGCTATTCAACAATTTAATAATTGGCGTCATACTCCTAATCCAGATGTCAACAATCCGTAAGTAAAAATATCAGTGGTAAGACTAGACAATCATGCAGTAGAGCTCTTCAACGTATCATTCGCTATATTATTATTATCTTTGATGTCAAAAATGATTGCAGCAAACGAATTATGTGATTTTATTCTATGTAGAGATACAATCTATATTATTTCAAAAACTTTATTGTTTTTAAAGAATAATTATAATACATTTTAATGAATATAATTATTTAACATGCCTATTAAAAACATGATTTTCGTGTTTTAGAATCTCACCGAATTTAAAAGGCGTAGTTTATTGTACGGCTATTCGAATGGGTGGACAGATCGAATGGGATTTTGCTTGGCAGCGATATCGAGCAACTAATGTAGGGTCCGAAAAGATTTACTTCTACAATCGCTGGGCTGCACGAGGGAGACATGGCTGCTTAATCGATACTTAGATTGGGCTGTCACGGAAAATTCAGGAATCAGAAAACAGGATGTCGCCCGAGTTTTCGGATCGGTCGCTAGTAACGCCGTCGGTCAGCCGATCGCATTTAATTATTTTAGAAACAAATGGACGCGTCTCAGAGAATAGTAAGCCAATTATTTTCTTTTCAATTATAATTCATTTAAGAAACGCACCATGTAATATAAATCTTTCATTATTTTCAGTTTTGGAACGTCATTATTAACTATTAATAACATCGCAAAGTCATCAACCAGGGGAATAAGCACAAGATACGAACTGAAAGATGTAAGTTGAATGTTATTATATATAATAGTCAAATGAAAAAATATGACAAATGTGTTAACAGTTCTATTCGGCAAATTAAAAGAATTTATAAACAAGCACTTATCGCTTGAATTCACACAATTTACGCGAAAAATCTCACAACCACTGCATTTCGAGAAAAAGAGAACTTTTGCTATAGATATATTTTTATTTTCATGACATTATTTCTAGCTCCTGGAATTTGCAACTGAACACATGACTGAACTCGGTACCGCAACGCGAACCATACAACAAACGGTGGAACAAGCGGAAGCCAATATACGATGGATCGATGGCAATCATGCAATGATCCGCGACTGGTTACAGAGGAATACGGCCTAAAATGATCTGAATTTCGACAAAAAATCAAATGGCCTTCCGTTTGATAATACAATTGCGCGCGTTGATTTTTTGCCGATTTTTACTGTAACGTCAAAGTGATGCGATGAAAATTCGTCCATAGCAAATTGCACAGATGAGGTACAAGGAGCTAAATTGCAGTCTATCGTTGGATTGTATAAGAATAATATTACGTGTTTTTTTGTATGTATTTGTAAATATATGGTCAGCATTATTATTATATGTAAATGATATTTATGAAAATGGCGAAGAGGGAAATGACTCTCCCGCCGTGTTTTGGGGGGCGCGTTTACATTCCTGATTATACTGTTAGACTTTAGACCATGAACTATTCTATGGGAAGAGTGTGATAACGTACATACATCAAGAATCTCTTTACAACGGATCTTTACTCACATTATTATAATTATCACTCTACGCGTGATGAACTTCACTGTGAATCCAAAGGAGCAACAGAGGAGATAAAGATACATACACAGACACACACATACACACACACAACACATATGTTCCGAAGTAACAATTAATAAATATTATAAGAAATAAATAATTTATCATAAATAAATCCTAAAACTGTATGTGTTTTAATTAAATATTCAGCTAAAAATTAATTTAGATAATTTTGTTATTTTGAAAAATCCATGCGACATATATATTTGTATATTAGATTAAATTAATAGACTATACGTTTATAAAAAACAATATATAAATTATCAAAGTGATAATTGACACAAATCTTATCAAAGATACTTATAATTAAAATATATGTATTAATTCGATGTTTATATTGTAATAATATCACTAGAGTTATAAAATTTAAAAAATTGATTCGTTTTATTAATAATAGTCGCATTTTTTATAGCGACTATTGAAACATCCGATACGTGTTGAAAATAATAAAATATTTTTAATCGCTCATTAATAAAGACAATAAAAATATTTATATACGTATATGTATATTATGATCAAATACAGCATAATTTATACAACATAATACTTTATGTACTTAGAATTTCAAAGAATCCTCTATATTCTCAGTACATGAATATCCGCTACAAAACTGATGAGTGCTAAATAATATTTGTATGTGATAAGATTTTGATTGTGCATTAATGATTTGCAATGCGACTATTACTTCGTAATTGTCTGTATATTATAAGAACAAAAACCAATTAAAAATGTACTGCTTTATTTTGAAAACATTGCACTGTATATGGATATAAAATAAAATTGTATCAATTTTTACAAATTCTATCTTATATTTTTATATTTATACTAGAACAACGCCATTTAAATCGCTTTTTATTTCAAAACAGTAGCATATCCTACAGCAAAAGTGCAAAGAACAATCTTGTAGAAATCAACGAAATCTACAAGTCCAACCTTTGACTTATCTGCGTAAAATTTATTATTTCGGAGATATTGACGTTTAAATCGTTTTTCTTTATTTACCTAATTCAAAGTTATAATTTTTTTTATCAGCAAAGTGTTATATATAAAGAAAATAAAACGTCGTTTTTTATTATTAATTTTTTAGAAAAAATAAATTATTGTCTAAAAAAAGTGTTACTGATAAAACGCTATAAGTTAACGTTTAAAGAAGAAATAGTAATAATTAAATATTTTCTGTTCTATGTTAAATAGAAAGCTCTAAAATATAATTTTGTTTATTATAATTTTGTGTTTAGTACAGTTTCTCAGTAACAGCTTAAAAAGTATGATATTAACAATGTAACAAAAGTCATAAAAACAACATTCAATGGTACTATTGTAGTAGAACCATTTGGACGTGTATCAGGCAGCTCTTTCATTATCCATTGAGTAATTGTTTGATTATAGTTTTGGTACCATATTAAGTTGGCTTCTGCAGTAGTAACAGCAGGAGCTAATTTTACTTTGATGTCTACTGGAGCATATGAGATTATATCCGATTTTTCGACAAACTCCTTCAGCTAAAAGAAGAATACATTATATATATCGCGTTATTTAATCTGTTACTAGAAAATATAATTGTAAGTATCGCATTTTTTATATGTTTAATGAAATTGATAGAACATCGGCAAGAGTTATTTTTGAAGTTTTCGAAAAATTACTCGAAATTATTCAAAAGTTTTCAAAAATGATTAAATTAATAAATATTTATTTCAATACTGCCAAATAAATCATTTATTTGAAATAAATAAATATTTATTTGTTTTGTGAAAATAATTTTCTTATATCAAATAAATATTTTCATATTAAATCAATATTATTAGTTTTAAATAAATTATTCATTTGGCAGTATTGAAATAAATATTTATTCGAATTCAATAAATTTTTTTTTAGTGGATAATTAAATTATAATTATCTCTCTAATTATTTATATATTAATACCTTATCATATTGACTCCAGCTCGATATATGAGATGCCATGTTATAGAACAAACTCACTACATCGTCCCAATTGTCGAAACTATAATTAAAGCATGTGATAATAAGAATTATATATAAGAAAAGTATAATATAAGAATTTTTAATTGCCAAAAAATTATATAGAATTTTACAAAAATTCTGTGAATATTGCAGTGATACTTACTAAGAATGGACTTCTGAGATATTTGCTATTAAAAAGTCGAGAGTAACGTTCACTCCTAGTTGACTTGCGCTATATACGGAAGTAAACACTGCTGAAACATCTTGTCGGCGAATAGCGGCATTTGCAGGATCGTATTTTTCGATGGCCTTCCCTAGATAGCTGTATAAATAAATTCTCCGTGAATTTGCGCATTGAGCGCGATAAGGTTGCACACAAAGTTGTATCCAAGCAATGAAGATTATTATAACTGGTATAATTTTAACGAGCTAAATATAGAATAATGGATTTACAATCCAGTAAGAGTGTTATTTTTGTACTTTCTGTTTGTAAACTTACTTTCGGAGCACTGTTTCATCTGTAGAGCATCCGAGTGCATTTATAATAATCTTCTTCTCTGATCCAAAGTTCGTTTTTAGATACTGCTCCCAGAGGAATTTCCAATCATCTGCAGTCCTTTCCTTTATCGCGGTGCAATAGACAGCTGGTCGTGCATTAGGTGGGATTCTGTGAATAAGAAATGTAAACAGAATTTGTATATTTTGCAAAAATCGCACACATGAGTATGTATTAATTGATCTATATAATCAATTAAAATTATTTAAACGTAGTTTTCTTTGATTTTTAAAATTGTTTCTCTTTCTCTTTTTTTATTTTTGTATTATACTTTTTCTTTTTATATTTCAAAGTATAATACAAAACAATTTTTATAACATTCTTATTTTCGAAATGTAGATTCATAGTTTCTATAAAATGGAAATTTTTGTTTAATATGTATTAAAGGAAAAAGAGAAAGATTATACAATATTGATTGAAATAAATGTTACAATCAGTTGAATAACTTTATAAAAGCTTATTGGAAACTTACCGGTTTAGAGTGTTATTGCGCCAAGTTACAAATAAGTCTATAGATTTTTTGACACACTCCGCTTTATGAGTTTGCAAGCCCATTGGAGAATCATCTCCCTATTTAATCTATCTGGTAGCTTGTCATCATTGCGATCATCGAATCCTGTGTTGTATATTGTGGATATTATATTTGAAACGTATGTCTTTAGATGGTTTTGATCATTTCCCTGTTCAATCTTTCGTAGACATATGTCAAGCCATTAAAGAATGCTTTCCAGGGTAATGATTTGTTTCCTGAGTCAAATATCTCGATGCGTTTAGCACCAAATCATATCCGACATAAGTAGCGCGAGCCAAGTTAAAGAGATCATCCATAATTTGAGCACGATTCAAGACGTGGATTGAGTCGTATTGTTTGCTATTCAATTGATTGATTAATCGCAGCCATGAATTAGCATCGTAATTAACACGGTAGAAGCCAGTTTGTTTGTAATTCACAATAAACCACTCATTATTAGGATTGATATATACACGCGCGGGTTCAGATCCTAGCCACATATATGTAGAATTGATAGTTATGTAATTATCCGGGGAGTTGTAAGGCTGATCAACAAAGTCTTGGGATTTGACGATATAAATCGGTATCCAATAAACTTCATCGCTAGTAATATTTTTGTTCATTAAAAACCGCTCCTTTAAAACAATAGTAATAAATTGAGTTATAGAATTTTTAAATCAGATATGAGAATACAATAATATATAAAGTTTTGTGATATTACTTGAGTAAGCGTTAATGTGGAACCAACTAATGTAGCGTTCACGACAGGATATCCCGGTTGATCCGTCCAAGTAGTCATTACTCCCTCGATGCTCGTATTACGTAATATTGACACAAACTGTTCGAAGCTTTCCCATAAATCTCTAGGATGAGCCGTACCGTATTTTATTTGTTTATTCAAATAATCTCGAAGCACTAATTTGTGATTTTCTTCTAAGTTTTTAATTTCCAATATGTTAAATAGCATTTGTAAGACACTGGCGGCTAAAAAAAATATATAAATATTTTAATATAAGTAAGTATTAAAAACAAACTTTTGTATGTAACAGAATATAATGCATCAAATATCAATATATGAGACATAAAAATTTTGATTTAATAATTAAGTACTTTGATTATAAATAAATATCATGTATTGATTTCTTTTTGATATCTTGATATAATAATTGAGATTTCTGTATGGTACGTACATTTTGCATAAGTGACATAGTCAAAAATATTATTTATTTCTTCAGATTGTTCAACGGGTTTTGTCATTGGATGCGCTGAAGGCAAAGAATCTTGTAATAGTGCAGACTGCAGCTCGTAAACCACGAATAGATCCATGAATTTGTAATCTGGTATTACCTATAAAAAAGAAAACATTTTCGCGAACTTGTTAATATTTGTTATGTAAAGACATCTATAAAAAGATATTTTTGAAAATTCAGTTTTGTTTAAAATGGATGATCTATACTTTTCACGAATTAAAAGAAATAAAGAGATAAAAAAACTTAAATTTAAATTTTCTTTAAATTCTTAAAAAATATATCTGCTTTGACGGAGTAAAAAATGTATTTTTTGCTGAGATATGAATTATCTTCTAATATCATTACACACCTTATCAGCCGCGTAATATTCGAAATATTGAGCGAAACCTTCATTGAGCCAAATGTAATCCCACCATGCACAAGTAACTAGATTTCCGAACCACGTGTGTGCAAATTCGTGGGCTATTACTTGGATTATATATTTTTCGTATGTAGCTGTAGTTTCGCTTTGATCATAAAAGAGTCCGTATTCGCTGTTAAAGAGATCGTATTATTTATGCGATACAAATTCATAAAAAATGTTGTTTAGATATATATGCATTTTTATGATTCTTATTAAATTAAGAAAAGAAAAATATTTTACCGGAAAGTAACAAGACCCCAGTTCTCCATCGCGCCACTGGCGAAATCCGGAATCCCCACTAAATCCAGCTTAGGCAAAGGATACTCGATACCCGTGAAGTTCTGCAACTCATCAATAAGCGCTTTGCCCATATCTTGAGCAAATTTGCCATGCTTTACGACTTCAGGTCTGCCCCATACGTTGAGAAACTTTTCAGACTCTTTCGCAGGTTTAAATTCGGAGATCACAAACGCTATCAGATACGGTGGCATTTTTACTGCGCTAATGTCGAATATATCCATCGTATAATTATCATCCCTAAAATAAGATCGAAATAAAATAGATAAATAAGAATAAAATAGACAATTGCAACAACAAAGATAATTGTTAATAATAATAAAGAAATCTTATATTTGCGTATACATATTTCATCAAGTTTGTATTAAATGCATTTGCATTTATACTTACTGCAATTTTATAGATAGTGGCATTTTAATTAGTGGCATATTACTCAGTGTATTGTAATGGGTTGGTCTCTCAATATTAATTGTAAATAACGATTTAAAGGCTGGTTCATCGAAGCAGGGGAAGGCTTTTCTAGCATGTGTAGGCTGAAATTGTGTTGTAGCTAGCCAACTGAAATAAATCAATGAATGAACGTAAATATTAAAATCTAATGTAAAAGATTCAATTGCTATTTTTATATCAATATCCGTATTCAGTCATAATTTTATTCAGGAAAATGAGATACGAAAAATTGCATGCTATTATTTTTTTAAAGAAATAACATCAAGATGTTATCTTTTATTTATTATATAACTTATATATATTTTACGTAATAATAAATAAATATTACTCACTGTTGCTCTCCGTTATCGTCTAAATAGGAGCTACGATAAAATCCTTCCATATTGTCATTAAGAATACCATTAAACTCAATTTCTGCCATTATGTTCTCAGCATTTTTGACTTCAGAGCTTAAATATATCCTCAATTGTTGAAATTGTTGCTCATCCGTATAATTCAATTGTATTGATTCATTATAATAATTGCTATCCGCCGCGTAATTTCTAAAGACATTTACATTTGAAATATTAAGGTTGTGCGAATTGAGAATTATGGACATAGTATCGTTCTCAACTCTTATGTATATTTGCACTTTTCCTTCAAAGGTACCATTCACCATATCAGGTTTGAGAATCACATTGTAGCGTTCTGGGTAAACTGTACTCGGCAAGCGATATTTGTTGCTCATAAATAGTTTGTCCAATTCTTCATAAATTATTGGCGCTTTTCTTTCGTACCAATCAAATTCGTATTTCGCTGTTGTTACATAAGAATTAATAGACTTTTTTTCGAACGCCGGTTCTCTGTGGACCAGCCAATCCAGTAAGCTTTGATACTGCGTATCAAAAATAAATTTGATTGAACAGATATTAAAACTAACATCATGAATTCTATAAATAGTATAATTATAAAATTTGCTTTAAAATATTTAGTAATATTTCAATAAATATTTAATTATACGTTTTGACACGTTTGAAATTGATTTTTCTGCATAAAAATTTACGTAAAGCTGAATTATTATTATATTATATTATTTTATTTTAATTATTAATTGAATTAATCTTTAATAACATATTTTTTTGTTGAGAAAGATTAGATATATAATTATTAGTTGTTATAAATATTTTTAAGGCTTTTACATAAATATTTTAATCAAAATTGTTTCCTTATAGGCATTCATTATGCACAAAAGATAAAATCAATTAAAATGCGTAATGTATTCAATGATCAATTACCTGTTCATAGAGATGGTGAGTAGATAATTTGCTTGCCAGAGAGTTTACTATATTTTCAATTTTCGTATAATCATCAAAACTATAATGGAAAATGAAAATGGAAATGTTTTGTAATATAGTAAACGGAACATGTTATGTAAGTTTGTAATATATGTCATTGTAATTATATATATGTTATATTATATTATGTAATTCTCATTATTGCATAGTGTTATTTACTTACTTCTTATGCAGTATATCTTCGTAATTATCTTTAATAACTTTCATGACGACTTCAACGCCAATTAAACTTGCATCATAGACATCTGAGAATACTTTTGCGCTGTCTTGGTAGCGTATATATGAATTCTCTGAAACTGCGTCTTGCAATAACCTTGAAAACAGTAATACATGTATATCAGTATATATATATGTATAATATTATTTATATTTTTATATAATCTTTTTCAACGTTTTATAATTTTTACATATATAACAAATATGTTTTGAATTATGTATTTAATACATATATAAAAAAATATCATACCTAATTTATGGACGTTAATCAATTTTCAATAGTTTAATGAAAAGTTTTGAATACCATATACATATATACTTACTTTTCTAAAATATTTTTATTCTGTGAACATGCCAATGAGCTAAGAATTACAAGTTTATCTGTAGTGACATTGCTATTTAAGTATTCCTTCCAAAGAAAATCATAAGTATTCTTTGTCGTATCTCTACTCATGGCTGTGCAATAAACAACATCGCGATAATTTGGAGGTATTCTGTAAAATAATCATTATAATTATGAAATTTGATCAATATATATATATATTATTATATTTAATGTATTTCAGATATTCATTTCTATATTTTTTAGCCAATCACCATATTATACTTTTTATTAATTTTATAAGTTTTATGAAAAATATTTTAACTTGTTATTCAATTTACGGTTTTAAAAGTTGCTTTTGTTGAAAATATCTTGTAGCCTGAAATTTGCAATCTCCTACATCTAATTTGCAAGCCCATTTGCGAGTGTGCATTCTTAACATAATAGTTAGATCATCATCGTTCTCTCTATCTTCGAAACTTAGTTGTGTATAAAGTGGTTCTATAAGCGTTGTTAAAAATGTCTAAAAAATATATATATATATTTTTCTATAGAAAATATTTTTAAAATTATATTATACTATAAGTAAATGTAAATAAAAGTACGGACTATATTATAAAAGACGCTTAAATTTTGGTCTAAAAATACATTAACAAAATATACAACCAAAAAATTGTGTGTAAGAATATATTAGTATTTCTCTTTTTTTTTTAATATACGTACTTTATATATATTTTCAATACTGCGTCCTGAAAAACGGTTGTTCAAGTAAGGTAAATTATTGTAGAATGCGCGCCAGGGAAAATAATTATTTTCTCGTTTTAAATACATCAAAGCTGATATAACAGTTTTATAATCGATATAATCTGCTCTTGCAAAATTCATAAGATCATCAATTAATGCTGCGCGATTAATTTCATGAATTGTGCCAATATTATCACTTTTAAGGTAATTAAATAGCTTCATCCAATATTCATTGTTATAATTCACGCGATAATAACCTGAGAACAAACGAAAACATTTGTAAATGAGAATTTGAAAATAACATTAATGAATGTATGTGTATTATATATAAAAATTATTAAGTTGAAGTCTTGTATTTATATGTGTGTGCTATCAAAATTTTTATTTTAAATCTTTTTTATTTAATTACCAGACTGCTTCACGTTGAATGTTGAAAGCGAGATTGATAGATTTTTTATTTCCAGTTCATTTTTTGTCAACCATCGCTTCGGCGTGGTGTTAGAATATTCTGAACGATTATTGATCGATGCCCACGTGATTGGGATGTGCCACGTATTAGTGGAATTAGTTTCACGTTCTTTAAGGAAGAATTGTTCTTGCCTGAAAACTACACTATTTTCTTTTTCTTTAATATCAACATAAAGGATAGGATAGCCTGGTTGAGTAGTCCATGTGTCTAAAATGGTTGTGATATTGTCTTCCAGTCCATTTTTGGTTACTTGTACTTGTATTGCTTCGTATAAATCTTCCGGTGTCGCAGTATTGTATTTTCTACAAAATTTAAGAAAAATAATTTCTTCCTTCTGACAGATTAGTATCTATTTACAACATATAAAAAACTTTTACATATCTTATATAAAACATATGTAAGTATTAGAGAAAAGACCCTTATATCATTGAAAATACATATATAAAATAAGTATTTACCTTTGTATGTTTAAATAATAATTAATATTAAATAAACTTTTAATAACTATTAATAAAAATTTAGCAAACTTTTCGCTCATTTTGTTTAATTAAAATAATATATATATTTTTGTTCTACACAAAAACATTGTTGTTGTATATTTATGATTTTAAACATTTCACGTACCTTTTACTAATATAATCACTTAATGCTTCATAAAACATTTCGTTTCCATATGATTTTTCTATCATTCTTAATATACTGGCGCCTTTGGCATAAGTGATAGTACCGAATAGACTGCGAATTTCACGTGGACTATATACATCGTGGCTTAAGGCATGCATAGAGTTGGAGTCTGCTCTAAAAGCAGAATGTACTTGGTCTACCACAAATTGCGATTCCAACGTTGTATCATTAAACACCTAATATACAAATACTAAATCCATTAATAAATCCATTGCTAAAGAAAATGTTCAAGTGAAATAATATTCCCATTTTAATATTCATTGCATTAAAATATAGAATATATATATATATATATATATATATATATATAAAGCATATATTAATGCGTTTAATATAGAGAAATCTTTTTTTTCAATTATTTGTAACATATCTATTCATTAAATCAAAATTATACATTAATAAAACAACTTATAATTATACGTACACGAGCAGGAACATGATATTCGAAATATCTGGCAAATCCCTCATTTAACCACAGATACTTCCACCATAGAGGGCTGACCAAATTTCCGAACCACTGATGGGAAATTTCATGGGCGATCACGTTCCTAATATTTTGCCTGCTCGTGATCGGAGAGTGCTCCTCATCATATAATAAATATGATTCTCTGTATGTCAAGAGACCCCAATTTTCTCCTGCGCCTGATGGAAAGTCTGGCAGCGCGACCATATAGAGTTTTGGGATTTCATATTGCTGTTTTATTGTGGTTTCAAAGAAATTCACGATTGGAGATATTAAGGATGCAGCGTATTCCGTTTGATTAATGGCATTGGGACGTGCGAGTATTGCATATTCAGTTTTATTCGTCACATAATTAATACCGAAATCCGAAATGATAACTGCTACCAGATACGTCGACATCTTTACTGACTCAAAGAAAGTATATAATTGGCGATCATCGCTGCAATAATTTGTTAAACAGTATATTTATATTATTTGTTTTTATAATAGGATTACACATAAAAAAACTATTTTATATGATTTTATATTATTTTAATTAAAAGTGAAAAGAGATGACATTTAATCAAATATTTCCGTTTAAATCCAGTAGATTTAAATTTATACGTACACTTTGTCAATCGATTTCCACTTCATATTGCTGACAGCGTTGTAACCAAATGGTACACTAACTTGAACGGTGAAAAGTGCTTTCATTGCCGGCTCATCAAAGCAAGGGAACATTTTTCTAGAGCCAACGGGCTCCAAGTGCGTAGCTGCAAGCCATCTAATATAACACAATCAATCAAATAAATTTTAATTATAAGTTGTATCTTTTTATTATATTTGTTTTAATAAAACTGGCTGTCCGAAAAACATTTAAATTGAACATGAATTGTAATCTTCTTTAATATTTCTTTGCGAAAACAGAAAAGACATTCAAGAAAGTATTTAGTATTAACTGGAAATATAATTCATTAAATTTTAAATCCTGAAATTTATTATTAATAATACTCAATTAATTACCTCGTTTTTCCATCATCATCCACATACGAACTTTTATAAAAGCCACGAAGCTCTGATGTATTTAAGTGACTCGTGTATTTAATTTCAATGATCAATTTTGTTCCAGTAATCAGTTCTTCAACAAGATCAATCTCAAACAAGTCATATTCCTCTTCAAAATTTTGATTTTCAATTTTTACTTCTGTTTGATTAGCCATCACAGTCACAGTATGAACCTTAATTTCCGCCGAGTGTAAAACGATCTGTCTTGTCTGTTGCACAACATCAGCTTCAATCTTGACGTGTCCGTCGACGGTGAAATTTCCTACCTCAAGATAGGGCGTAACGGATATGACATATTTTTGGGGACTTATATTTGTTGGTAGGCGATATTTTAGATTTTCTTGCGTTAGCCATTTGTGTAGCCATTGAATAATAGGCATCGAAAAGGAGTCGTACCATTGCAATTCCTTTCTAGCAATTTTTAAAGAGGACTCCAGAGATTCGAGGATTGGCGCAAATTCCGTCTTATGCTTTTCTATGAAACTTTGAAAATTGTCCACTAAACTAAGTGTCGAGAAACTTTTCGATGCTCCATTGAGAATCGTGGCTATCGTACTCTGGCCTCCGTAGCTAAAGAAATAACGTGCTTGTAAAATTAATTCGAATATAATTTTTCTTCTTACACGCGTCTGACGATATCATTTATTTAATCTACGTTTTTGCATCGCATAACTTAAAGAATTTCAAAGATATATATATATATATATATATATATATCATAATTATGTGTAATTGTATATTAACAAATTATTATTAATATTTTAAATGTAACTTTAATATTAATTATATATATTATGCTCTTGTTTTGCATTTACATATTGCATATTATAATAAAAAGGTCTTACTATTTCTCCATTTCTTTGTGATGCTTGTCAGTGAAATCAAGAATATATTTGGCTCCAATCAAGCCAGAGTTATAAACGGCGGCGAAAACATTCGTGCTGTCTTGTTTACGAATTTGATTGATTTCATAACTACTGATGGCATATCCTAGATACCTGAATATAAAAATAATGATAATTTTTAAATACAATAATATATATATTGGCACATAAATACAACTATCATGTTGTTATTTTTGTTATATAAACTATGAGTGTTTATATCAGTAGATTAAGATTATAAAATTATATAAATATAATATTAATTAAAAACATATTTTGCTCTTAAGATTTACGTCAATTAATCAAAAAATATTCTGTAATAACATCAAATGAGCTTATCTAATAATAAGAGAACTTATTATCTGATTATGACAAATTATGACAGATTAACGCTCGTTATCTACAATAAATTGTCTTTAATTTTATCTTGTAATAATACTTCTATATATTAAGACGTAGAGCAATGTATTTTCATATTTCAGGTCTTACTTTTCCAAAATAGTGGTATTCAGACTGCATCCAAGAGCGCTTAAAATCACTGTTTGGTCGGTCACATAATTGGAATTCAAATATTGTTTCCACAAAAATTCCCAATCTTCAGGAGTTCCATGTCTTGCGGCTACGCAATACGCTGTAGTCCTTTCATTTGGCTTAATACTGTTAAATATTAAGATTATAGTGTAATTAATTTTTTATGAGCTATATGAATGTGCAGAATTAATATATCATATGATATTAAAAAAATATATTGTATGCAAAACATAAAAAAGTATATATATTGTTTGTATATTCTTACGGAATAGAAGTATTTGTTCTCCATGTTTTGAACTTCTTCATATAAACCGCTATACATTCATCGTTGCCTAAATTACAGGCCCAATTATTTACCTCTCGTCTTAATAAAATTGTTAATCTGTCATTATTTGCGGCATCTTCGTATCCTAATTTTTTACGATTATGATTGATCAGAGATAGAACGTATTTCTATAAAAACATAAAATACGGTATTATATAATTATGTGTGCTTTATAAAACGAAGACAAAAGTTTATTTGTCTTTGCAGTTATATGCGTATATTATTTTTTTATAAAAAGAGTGATGGCAAATTTTGCCCATTTTTGGGACCTCGAATTTTAAACTTTTTTTCATGGCAAATACTCGTAGTACTATTAGATGAAACAATCCCAGTAAAATTTCAAGATGAGCATAGGCACGGTTACGAAGATGTGAAGAAGTGAAAGTGATAGTTTCTCATCCCCGACTAGAAATCATCACTTTCACCCCTTGTATCTCCGGAACCGTGCCTATGCTCATCTTGAAATTTCTCTGGATTAATGTCTCATCATATAGTACTATTTGACATAAAAAAAGTTTGAAAAAGATCCCAAAATTCGACTCTATAAAATGGGTGAAAAAACAGGTCTTTTTGCCATCACTCTTTATATTAATTTTTTGAATTCAGCTTACGACTATTATACGATTAAAATTGTATTTTTTATGTTTAATTATGCATAATTTATTTGACATGCTTTAGTAATGACTAACCTTGAATAAAGAATGTTCATCATATCCTGTAAATCGTTTATTCAAGTAATCCAAACCATTAAATGCTGCTTTGAAGGGCAAATAATTCGTTTCCCGCTTAAGGTATGTTATTCCATTCAAAACTGTTTCGTAATCTTGAAATCCTGCTCTACCTAAATTTAATAGATCGTCCACAATGCCAGCTCTGTTTAATACATGAATCTCGTTGAATTTGTCACTGTTTAAGACATTGAAAATGCGCTGCCATCCATCATAATCATAATTTACACGATAAAAACCTATAATAAAAATTAAAGCTATTTTTTAAGTAATTTATAATTTTTTTTATATAAAATATTTTATTTATAATTTCTATTTTAATATACATTTTTTATCTAATGATAGTTGCAATTGTCAAACTTATACTAACCCGACGATTGAATGTTGAATATCACCCATTCTTTTGAATCAATTTTTAAACTATCTATGGTATCTTGTTCAGTGGACAGCCAATGTTTCGGAAAAGTATTAGTAAAATTCTGTTCCGTTTGTGTAGTCCATGTAAGCGGAACCCACCAGGTGACATTCGTGGGAGTTTCGTTCAAATTTCTTAGAAGAAAGCGTTGTTGGGTAATATTGAGTACGCCTTTGTCATTGATGCTGATTGATACAACGGGATATCCAGCTTGTGTAGTCCAGGTATCCATTATTGTTTTCACATCTTGTTGTATTGTAGGTTGTAAATATGAGCGATTTGCGTTCTGTATAGCCGTCCATAAATCATCTGGACGGCCTAATCCTTTTTCTTTGCTAAAAATATATTATGCATGTAATAACTGTGTATTGCGAGCACAATTTTACATTTTTCTCAAATTCCTTATATTATGAATATCAGTAATTTTAGCTAATATATTTAATTTATTAATATATGTTCCTAGTTTATAATAAATTCGAATATAGTAATAGATTAGTCTTCTTGTCAGCAAATTATATATTAAAAGAGATATCAAAATATAATACTAAAATAATGTAATTTATACTAAATTTATTAATATATTTATATATATATATATAATAGATATATTGCTTAAAAATATTAATATTACTTAATCTAATTCTTCTCCTATTGCTGCAACTGCTTTTAAAAGTTACTCCACTTTTATTTCTCTCTCTCTCTCTCTCTCTCTCTCTTATTATTATTCTTTATATCTCTTTTTATTATATTTTTAAACATTTGTATTTTAAATCAAATATTTATAACAAAATTAATAGATCAAATATAATAGACTATATAATTTGCTATGTAATATTTACTTGATACGTAGGTAATCACGTAATGCGAGCTTGAAGACGTCGGTTCCGAATATGAGATTCATCATGCGAACAATGCTGGCTCCCTTTGCATAGGTAATAGAATCTCCCACTTCTCCGATTTGCGATTGACTGGAAACCTCTCGAGTCATCGGACGAGAAGATTCAAGACCATCCGCTATTAAAGCAGATTCATGCTGTTCCACTATGAATTGCTCATTCATGTTCCATGATTTCTCGATCTAGGTGTTAGAAAGACCGAAAAATTATTAATCTATTTTCTTCAAAGATGTAAAAATAAAATTTTATTATATTCTGCTAATATTGTGATCAAGAATTAATCATTGTTTTTCAACAATATTAAGTGCAAGTTGCAACAAATTATGTAATTATATAAATTGTACAAAATTAAAATTGCATAAATTTTTTTGGATTAAATCTAAAAATCTAAATTTTGTTCGAAAATTAAATTCAACGATAATTCTACGATAATTTAATATATACATAATATTATATATTGCTCTTACTTCTGCTGTACCAAAATATTGAAAGTATCTGGCAAACGCTTCACTAAGCCAAAGGTAGCTCCACCATTCTGGTGTCACTAGATTTCCGAACCACATATGCGTGAGTTCGTGAACAATTACGGAAGCCACGCTTTGTTGTGCCGGTACCGATGATTCCTTCTCGTCATACAGCAGCCGAGGCTCGCGATACGTCACCAATCCCCAATTTTCCATGGCTCCGGCGTCGAAATCAGGGACAGCCACCATGTCCATTTTAGGAAGGTGATATTTTTGGTCGAACGTGTTACTGAGTAGTTCTAAAGCTGCAAGACCGATCTTCAAGGCGTAATTAGTTTGATTGATGACGGATGGTCTGGACCATATTTTAAATTCGTTAAGCTCGATAGAATCAAATTCCGAAATGACGAATGCTACTAGGTAAGTGGACATAGGGACGCTTTCCTCGAAGGTATCCCAGAACTTATTGTCCTCCCTTAAAAGAAGAAAGTGAATTAGGAGTAGTATTAAAACAAGGTCACTTTCACAACTGTAATAAAGCATGTATTCTGGGACACTTTTCTAACACTTACAGTTTTTCAGTTTTGTTCAATGGCATGTTGCTGAGACACTTATATTTTTCGTCTCTTGATATGCGAATTGTGAATTTTGCCTTAAAACTCGGCTCATCGAAGCATGGGAAAGCATGTCTCGCGTGTGTGGTTTGAAATTGTGTTGCAGCTAGCCATCTATAAAAAATATTCGTATTAAAAATTTCAATGAATTTATATTAACTTGATATTTACGTTAAAAATTAATACACATAATATATAAAATATTTATACACAATTTATATTTTGTTTATTTATTTTATAATTTTTTTATAATTTTGTAATTTTATTAATACAGAAAATAGATTCCATGAATTAACGTAATATGTTACTTACTTGATTTGACCATCTTTATCGAAGTAAGAACTTCTATAAAATCCAATCATATTGTCACTCAAAATACCATTATATGTAAAAGCAATTAATATCTCCGATCCGTTATTAAGATTTTTGGAGAAAATAAGGGTGTATTTTTCAGTGATTTTGTCATATGAATGCGAAGCAGTAGTAGTTATATTATCCACTAAAACGGATTGTGACATAATATCAATATTTCCTACATGCAGCGTAATTTTGTCAGTTTCATTTTTCACTATAGCGATAATCTTTACGATGCCCTCAAATGTAAAATCATTATCTTGTAAATTTGGCATTAGCATAATTTCATAGGAAATAGGTTTGACAGATGTTGGTAATCTATAATCGTCATTTTGTGATGTTTCATATTTTGACAAATCCACATCTTGCAATATATCTGCATAAATATGTTATATTTCAGTTTGTTGTTAAATACATAAAATAATACATTTAAATTGTATATTTTAATATAAATGTTTATAATTATAAATTATATATTCTTGTTATAAATGCTAACAATAAATATATAATTTCATATAAAATATAATTTCAAGAATCTGTAATCTAAATATGTATATTATACAGGGTGTTTGGCAACAGGTGGGCCAAAATGTAAGGAGTGGTTCTACATGATAAAATAAGACGAAAATCAAGAATGAGAAAATTGCGTCCGAGACTTCGTTTATTAATTATAAATATTTTAAACTTCGCATTAAGGGCGCCTGACGCACGGCAATTTTCTGATATTTGGCGTGCGTAAGCTACATCGGTAGAGTCGCCGTCAAAATACACTGTGACGCATAAGTATACAAAAACTTACATCGTAACAGTTGATGTATATTTTGCAAAGTGTAAAATATTTATAATTAATAAACGAAGTCTCGAACGCAATTTTGTCATTCTTGATTTTCGTCTTATTTTATCATGTAGAATCACTCCTTACATTTTGGCCCACCTGTTACCGAACACCCTGTATATAAATGGCAAACGTGAGATATGTATAATTTTCTATTACTGCTAATATTTAATTTAAATTTATATATTTAATGTTACATTTTATAAATATATGCTTTGAAATTAATATAAAATATATGTATAGAATATGAGATGCAGATAAAATTACCTTTGTAAGAGGACAATCTTTCTGTTGCGTTTCCGCTAACTAATACGAATAAAGTGCAAAGTAATAGATGTTTCCAAAAAATCTTCATCTAAAAGGCAAAAATTAGTTTTTAAAAACTTTGAATTCTGTATAATTAATTATAAATATATACATATTATTTCTTTATTATGTATAATTGCTGATTAACTAATTATAATGCAGAGTTTAATATAAAGTTGATTATTTTATTTATAAAATAATACTGTTTATTTAGAGATTAAAGAATTTCAATTATTTAAAAATTATTGCACTTACCTTCACTAAGTGTTCTATTGCATATTACTATTAACGTTTTCTCATATTTTACTTCACTAATAAACGAATAAATACAGATAAGTAAAAGTTATTTGTATCTGCAATAATATTGAAATAATTGTTTCAATTTTACACTTAATATATAAGTCACATTTAAATAAAATAAATTTAGTAGAAAGATTTTATCATATGTCCATCATAGACAGATAATATATTCGACTTTCACAATGCGATTCTAAACGTATAATTCGCGTGTATAGTTCTCGATAGACTCCTCGTGAAAAATGATAGATCACTACATGCGATTTTGATCTTAGGTGTTAAGATTATTTATGATATCATTTACTATCTTATCACAAGTTTAATGAATAACGATGTAATCATTTTTCGTATTAAACCATGTTATCACATTTTGCTTACACGATATATCATTTGCTACTGCAATTCAGTAATTAATTAATATCTGAAACAATACAAAAAACAAAAGTTTTACATTAATCTTTCAGAGAAACTTTAATAATTACATCAGTACATTATGTACATTTTTATGGCAAGCTATTCACAAATTAATCTAAATTAACTGATAATAACTTAGATTAATGTATACGCAAGAAAAAATTTCATGTAATATTTATACAATTATTTAATTAACATAATTGATTATGTTAACATTAAGCAATTTATATATATATATATATATATATATATATACATATATATAAAATATAATATAATATGAATATAATATTAAAAATACAACGTTATCTTTTTATAAAGATGCTTAATGAATTTTAAAGTGCTTAATGAATTTTACTGTAATATATGTATAAATTATATTTACTTTTCTGGATAAATGCATATAACAATGACATATAAAATGCATTATCAAAATTATAATATTTTAACCATTTAAACATATGTATCGTTTTACTTTATATCAATAATTATTATTTTTAATAAAAGAGACAAAAAATAAAGTAGTAGAATAGAATTGTGCGCAATTGCATATTTTATTATCTAATAGCATTATAAATGTTATTTTATACATTAAAATGTCTTTTTATACATTAACATTATAAATCTCACTTTTTTGTAAATAATTATTTTCCGCATTTAATAATACCGCATTTTTTCCTCCTCGACCTTTGATTAAAATACTTATGAATATTAATCAGTTTCTTTATCAGCTCAAAAATGACTGGATGCATTTTATTATCAAAAAATATCGTTTGATTATTTATTGTATTTTACATTTGGAAGTGAATATAACCTTTTTGCTTTAAATGACAATAAAAAACCAAAATTTAAGATTTTGTAAGCAACATAGAAATTTAATCAAAAAGAAAAAAATAAATTAAAATAATAAAATAATAAATTATAAAATTATAAATTATATATACATATATATATTTATTTATGTATTTATGTACATGTATGTTTATTTATGATATATATATATATATATATAAAATTATATATTACATATATAATTATATGTTATATGCATATTAAAATATTCGGAAAAAAATTTAATGCGATTATATTATATATATTAATTAATTTGATAATTATTTTAATTTATTTTGCGTTTAAAATTAACAGTAAAACTATACTATAGATATTATTTAATGGAATCGTGATACATTATCTTATCTAGAGCTTACGATAGTGAAATGATAAATTATATTGAAGTATATTTTTTTAAATTAATTTTTAATATATAAAAAACAATTAAAAATCAATATTGATGATAATAACATGTTTTAGCTGTAAACAAGTAGAATTAATTCGATATAATATCATAAAACGTATACAATAAATAAACACATACATATATGTATATATGTACAATATGTAAAATATATAAATGTGTTAATTTTTAATACCTTTAAAACCATAAAAACGTATACAATAAATATACACATACATATATGTATATATGTACGATATGTAAAATATATAAATGTGTTATCTCTCGTTGTCTTTTTTTATCTTCTTTTGGAGATTAATCAGAATAATGATCTGGAGCATATATCAAAGTTAAGACCATTGGGGCTAGAGGCCTTTTTGTATTTACCATTCCGTTTAATATTGATAAATGCCATAGGCGTCGTGTCAAAGTACATTCATAAATTTCTGCGAGCTATATCGATCCTATGGACATATTCGACAATGCGCAATTAGAATTCTACTGACAATTAGAACAACGACAGCGCGCGCAATTCTACAATTTTATATTAATAAATAGAAAACACACGAGCGCGCTACGTGCGCACCATTGTCTGATTTCTTTTAATGATTTTATTTATATATAATTTTACTTAATTTTATTTTGAATAAATGTCAATAACTATTAACCCTCGCGATGACAATCGCTCAATGCTATAATATATATTATACGTATCATTATGTTTCGAGCTCGATGAAAGCAACTCTATCTTTCTATCCTTTCCATCAGATTAATACATCCCACATATCCATCACGGTGCGCATCTCGCGCGGGACTGATTTTCATGCGGGGTATCGTCAGCGCGGGTCCGATGGTCACATGACCACTGGTCATGTGACCACTGGTCATGTGACCATCGGTCCCGCGTTCGCGATACCTCGCACGAGAAATACGAGAATCAGTCTCGCGCGAACCGCGCAACGTAACAGATGTATGGGGTATGGAGTTTCGCGTGAGTTTAATGAAAGCATAGATATTTGATCACAAAAGATTATTGTAGAAAATTTTATTTCTTTGTTCATATTTTCTTTTAAAGGTTTAAATATTGAATTTTTATGCATTGCGTAATTAATTAATATATTTTTATGTATTGATTGTAATAATAATTTTTTTATGCATCCATAATTTTTGAGATTTTATTATCAACGAATAATATAACTTTGCTTTGCGTGCATGATTATATTCGATTAAATTAAACGAAACGATATATATAATATACTACATATGTAAGTGTAGCATTTATAAGTAGATTTGTTAATACAGTAGAATATTACAAAAGTAAAAGTAATTGTGTTGACTCATAAATCAAATTCAGTTTTGTTATCAAGTTTAATTATGATTGGACATGATCTAGTTGGGAAGCGACAAACATTACAAGTAAGCGCACAGATCACGTAAGACCAATTTTTATATTTTGACACATTATTAATTTATTATATCTCACTACTCATAGTGCGTTATGACAACAATAATTTCTCGCATACTAACGATGAAATCTATGGAATCGGCCAAACATCTCAATAGAGCGATCAATCCGTAAGAAATATACTGACGTTTTGTAATTTGACTTAACACGACATGCACTGATTCGGCGATAAAATTGCGACTTACAATCACTTATGATCATCTACTTTTAATTCCTATACTGAAGAAGACATTCGCGTGCGATCGAAACGTTTGTACTGTATTATCTTATATAGAATAAATACTTAGTTTATATCATCTAATAATGCTCGATTAGTTGGCCTTTTTATATATTAAAAATTTTATATTTTAATTTTGATTCTCGAATGTCTATTACGTACATAATTTTAATTTGCCGAATTTTAATTATGTATATAATTTTAATTTTTAAATTTCTATTATGTATCGGACAATACAAGCGCGCGCTTCGCAACAATGTTAATCGCGACAATCAATCAGTATCGCGGAAAAGTAGCAACATATTTGCGATAATTGGCTTTACATGCCTTTTTAGAAAGGGATTTGGAGTTTGCTTTTATGGTAGGTTTATTTTAATACAGAAACTCTGTCGCGTAGAAAAATGCATTATTATCAACCACCTGTAAATTCATTACCGCTTGCTTTAATGCATGAACATTAGATCGCGTCATGTTAATGTAGAAGTTATTAGTGTAATTATCGCGAGGAAGCAACAGGTCGCGTAAACGTTTACTATGTAATTCAATAATTAAAGACAATTAAAACACAGTTGAAAGTTAATAAGAGTAATCGTTTTTATTTAATAGTTTATAAATTTTATTTAATATCTTTATGTATGAATATTTTTTAAATAATTGTTTATATCTCATATTTTATCAGTATTTCTCACATTTTCTTTGTCATTAAAACTCTTGTAAAACCTGCGTTTTTACTTGAGATTTTACAAATAAAAAATATTTATTTTGCATTCAGTAGTCCCTCAAAATATATAGTCTTTACGTTTATTTGTTATAATTAAATAAGTGAGACATATTTTTGCAAGAATTATATTTGTCGATTTATTTTGTGAAAAATGTGTATAATCTATATAATTATTTGTTATTTTTATTAATTATATACATATATGTATTTTGTGCTTTGTATATTGTGTATAATAATTTTATATTACTGCATTATTATAAACTTAATTCAAACAGGACGTTATATTTTATATTTTACATATAAATGTAATAATTATTATTTATATTATTGATGCAATTAACGACTATTTTGCGATATAATATTTGTAGATAAGTTTAAATTTGTATGTTCTAACCACAAACGAATTTTGTTCACTATTGCCTCTGTCAGCTCTATATTTCGTTCTTGATGTTTTATGGTTTGTGGTACTTCCATTCCAAGATTATCTAGAAATGCTTTCATCTGAAAAAAGGGTTTTAAATATGTTATTACTTTAGAATGTAAAATATTATGCGCGACTCTTCACAAATTAATCGCATATATTTATGTTATTCTTCTTTAAATGTATACTGTATGTCTAAGCATGTTTTTACTTGTTTTTCAAATACATTTTAATGTTTTCATGAAAAAAAATAATTACATTGAAAATGACTAAAAAATTATTTTAATGTACATCTCTTATGGAAATTTATCACTAGTAAGTCCAAATAATCACTTTTATTTCGAGTACTTAAATTACTGTATATCAGTAATTTTAGTGCTTGAAATAAGTGATTATTTGGACTTATTAGTGATAAATTTCCATAAGGGATATCGTTTATATATGTAATATAAAAAATGTAAAAAGCTTTGCAAAAAGCTAAAATATAAATTAATAGAAATCTTCCACATACTTATATTTTTTACTTTCTATTTACAAATTACCTTTTCAATTTGTTTTCTAGAAATAACATGCCAAGCAATATTATACAATAAACTCGTAGGATTATCAAGACTGTAACAAAAAGTTCAATATGTTAGAAATATAATAAACTAAATGTTTTTTATATGTTTGTATAAGTTACTTAAAAATTTGTGCATTTCTTCTAAATTATAGATAATAGAGAACAAATTAAAATAGTAATATAAAAATAGTAATAATTGCGTGTAAATAATATGGAGTTTCTGATTTTTACAATGTTTAAAAAAATAATTTTATATTAACAGTTTTATTTGTTGTCAAAAATCACCCTGTAATATTTTCTTGAGTTTTTTTTAAAAGAGAATTCTAATTGTAATGTTTTCAAATTTGTCTAATTCTCTTATAGAAAATATGTGTATAGCTTTTAAAATATTAAATATATATAAGATCATTACATAGTTGTAAGCTTATCCCAATGATTCATAGTAAAGTCTATCACCATATCGACGTTTGGGAAATCTCCATTTAATACGGAATAGATAACACGAAAAACATCATCTTTTGCAATAAGTGAATCTTCTAATAAGACCATATTTAAAAGTTTTGTGATAATAGTTAAATTCTTGGAATGTCCAAGACAGTATAATGTCGGTTCAGATTTGTTCATGTACTTGTATAACAATTTGTTCCAAATAGTTTCATTTGCCTGCTTTATTCCATTAAAGAATATCCACTCTTTTTTCTGAAACGAAGTACTAAAACAAAATTTTTTATATATATGTATATATAAAAATATATTATTACATATTATAATTGTTATTTCTAATAAATAAATCTTTTGTATATTTATTTCAAAATTTCCATAATTACGTATTTGCGAGCATGGGATTTTCCAAATATGTGATTAATTGAGCATGGGCTTCACGTAAACACAAAGGATGATCGTAGATGCATGCGTCATTAAGAATTGCATGTCTTGTTACTTTTGTGAAATAATCATCATTTGGACGATCTCGTGTACCTATAGTCTCTATCATATTATTCATCAAATCCGAAATATACGGCTGCAAGCATTACATAAATTTGATTAATTTTATATTATAAATTATGATTTAAAAAGTGGTTTAAAAATCTATTATTATCGAGATAATTAGAGATCGTGTTTTATTCAAAAAAAGGTAGTGTTTTTTAAAGCGATTTATAATCTTTGGAATAATTAAAGATTAATTTTATTTTTAATTTTGTATATGCATTTTGTATATGTTATCTGAAACATTATACATAAAGTCAGAAATAAATATTTTTATCGGCTCAATATAAAGAATATAAATATGATGTTTTCTAAATCGGCCAACAGAGCCAAAGCACGAAAAATTAATTAATCGGAACTGTATCTCTTGGTTTGAGATCACAAAGTTCCATATATAAATTAATCTCCAAACTTACATATGGAGAAATAGGCGCGAAAAATATAGGTCCAAAAAGTTGCTGAAGCGGGAAAGACGCGGGTTTGATTCCCGCTTCAGCAACTTTTTGGACCTATATTTTTCGCGCCTATTTCTCCATATGTAAGTTTGGAGATTAATTTATATATGGAACTTTGTGATCTCAAACCAAGAGATACAGTTCCGATTAATTAATTTTTCGTGCTTTGGCTCTGTTGGCCGATTTAGAAAACCTCATATTTATATTCATTATACATAAAGATTTTATAATATATAAAAAATGTTATAAATAACTTACTTTGAGCAATTCACCACCCCCATTGTAAAGGAAAAATGTGGTTACGTCCTTCAAACCTCGAAACATAGGATACCATGCTATGTAATCTATTTCACGTCGCAAATATTTTGTTATGTTCATGAAAATTCTGGGATCTAGTTTATGCGACAACATAAGATGGATTGCATCGTTAATTATTTGTGCACGATTCATTACATGTATTTTCGTGTAATTCTCGGAATCCAGATAGTTAGCGATTCTTAACCAGTTTGTTGGGTCATAATTTACGCGGTAGAAACCTGCAATGTAATTATTGTTAATATTAAAATTAACATATTTACACACACATAAAAATTTATATTTTATTATATTTTCAAACATATCAAAAATGTTTTAATTATTAGCAGCGATAATTAATTTTTTATGGTTGCTCTTTATATAGACAATTACGTTGTTATAAGTTTTTAAATATTTTATTGTATTTTTAATAATTGTAATCATTATCATTATCTATATTTTTTATGTTGTTATATACCAAATACTAAATATTTATATTAATGTCTGATTATTTACTTCTGTATAGAGGGTATGTATAGATAATTTTTAAATAAACTTACAAGAAATTTAATTTAATGTAGATATATAAATGTGAGTGCGTATGTTAAATTATATAATCTCAAGATATTTTAACTTTTCATAATAAGCCCATTATTTTTTTTATCAATATTTCTTTATATCTCTAATAACGTGCAATAATATAAGCATATATATAAATTTATATATATAAATATATATATATATATATATATATATATATATATAATATGTATAATAGTAAGTAAATTGATTTATAAGCAAAATTATTTTACCAGTTTGTTGAATATTAGTAATGATCCAATCTTCTGGATCGATATCCTCATCGATTATAAGCTCTTCAACTTCGGGTGACAACCAATGTGTAGCTAAAGTTGACGAGAAATCTGGATTCGTACGAGTCGCAAAATTTATTGGAACCCACCATTTCTTGTTCATAGCGGCTGTGTTATTACGATTTTTACGTGCATTCATTTTTTCATATGGTCGAAAATATTCCTGTGTGATTTTCGCCTTTCCATGTTGATCTCTAACCATTGTTACAAGTGGATACCCTTTTTGTCCAACCCAAGTGTCCATTATTTGTTGAATTTTAAATTTGTTTTGCGTCGTTGATTGTTCAAATGTATCTTGCAAAGCATTCCATAAATCTTCAGGGTTAGCTACGTCATATTTGCTAAGAATTCATATTTTACATAAATATTATGCGATTTCATTCATTCATTTATTTTCTATATGCATGTAGCATTATCTATTATAATTTTTATGAAAGATATTTGTTCTGTAGACAGAAAGTACTTATCCTATGTAAAATATTCTTATAACAAATTTTACTTATTTACTAAATTAAACTCTTTCAAACGCTAGTCGTAAAATAAATTGACAGAATTATTTTCGACAAAACTAGCAACTTTATTTACATTAAACATAACAGAATGTAAATTCTTTTTATTATTATAAAATTTTGATTTGTGACGTATATTTTATACATATTATATTATTTATAATAGTAATATTAGGAAAAGAGAAAAAAATAGAAAAAACCAATTGATGTGACTGTATTAATCACTTTCTTAGAACGTTATTTAAACAGTCTAATTCGAGAATTTATTTGTTGTAAATATATTTAATTTTATAATAAAAGTGCAATACTTTACTAACTGCTTTTCAAAATATTTAGCGAGTCCCATATGAAATACATTATCAGACAAGCAATGTGAAAGCATCCTCAAAAGTAGAGAGGCTGAAATAATAATCGTATTTATTAGAAAGAAGGAACTTTAATTAAAATATTTTTTAATTATGAATATTAATTTAATTTCTTTTGTTGAAAATATGTTACCTTTGCGATCGTCTGTTAAAGAAGATTTGAAATTAATTTCTTCAAGAGTATTAGGCTCCAAATTAAGAGGTCGTACGAATTCAAAACTATCGATTATTAATATTAGATTTAACATTTTTGATATTGACAATTCCATAAATTGCGAATCTTTATATATCTAAATGAGAAAATTTATTTAATATCTCTGCATACACACATGTAAAACATACATATGTACAATAATGCTGAAATTTAAATTATATATATAGCGATATATAAAGTTATTGTACAAACTTATTAACTTCTACCTTGTCAGTAATGTAATATTTGAAATATTCTGTAAGTCCTCCATTAATCCATATATGCGTCCACCAGGTCGGACTAACAGCATTACCGAACCATTGATGACTCGATTGATGAATGATATTGCTTGCAATTCTATATAATGTATCGATTGAATTACTATGTTCATCGTACAGTATTGTAGCTTCTCTGTAAATGCATTATATATACATAAAATTGTATAATTTTCAGAATTGTAAAATTCATGATTATCTGAACCAATGTGTTATTTAATATAACAATATTTTACGTTTTTGTGTATATATTGTTACATTTTATTACGCTTATAATATAAAGTGTCTATTATACTTGTAAGTAATAAGTCCCCAACTTTCCATAGCCTTATTGGAAATGTCAGGAAGCGCAACATGATCGATTTTGGCTACCCGAACGGAACTATGGTTGGTGTATCTTTCCAATTCGATCGCTGCTTTTTGGGCAACTTCGTGGGCGAAACTCGCCAAGGAAATTGCATTGCTTCTGCTCCAAACCCTGATAGTTCCATTGGAGTTCTTTATACTATGAAGATCGGAGACTAGGAAACTGACTAAGTACGTCGATATGACAGGCGTTTCTTCAAAGTGCGTCCATATTTTTCCATCATTTTCGTCGATTTCCGACTCCTCAGAAATTGGCATATTCGAAAGAACTGAGTAATTAGTAAAGTGTTTGATGGCAATCTTAAAAGTAGCTTTTAATGCTGGCTCGTCCCAGCAAGGAAAAGATGCGCGCGCGTAAGTTGCCATGAAACTTGTTCCAGCGAACCATCTAGAAAAATTTTAATTGTTATTAAATGTGTTAATTAATTGTACGTGCGTTTTTTCTTTAATTTTTCTTTATTTTTCTTTATTTATCATTATTTTTTCTATATATACATTTAAAATAAATAATATAAAAAATATGTATAATTTTACTTACACTGTATTTTTTGCATTGTTAATATAAGAACTTCTGTAGAATCCATATGATCTGTCATTTAGTACACCAGTAAATTTTAGATATAAAATATAATATCCGGTGAGCAGATTTTCATCGAACTCAAGGCTCAAAATTTCTGTTAGATTGTTATAATCGTACGCAGTAGGAACATAAAAATTCAATCCATCTTTGGCTTTTAGAAAAGTTGCATTTTTGTCTAGTATCAATTTCTTCGTATGCAACATTAGAGTTTGTGTGTTGCTCAAAATCTCTATGGAGACAAGCACTTCGCCATTAAATGTAAAGTTGTTTGGCACAAGATGCGGATTTAATTTAATGTCATAAAACAGCGGTTTTGTGTGATTAGGTAATCGATAATTTATTTTTTCGTTCAGGTTTGACGCTGGAATGATAGCAGTGTCTGCTACGATGAGCGTAAAAGCGCATATGCAGATAATTGTGTTCAATAACATTCTGCAAAAATAAAACAAAAAACCTAATTTTTTTAGATAAAAATCTATATGAGACGAAAGAAAAAAGAAAATATTTTCTTTATTGCAATTATGAGTTTATGTCACATGCCAATTTGTTTAAAATTATGAATTGTCGCGTCTTAATGCATAATTTTTAAAGATAATTTATACATAAGTAATTTAAATTTATGATCTAATAAGATATATTATACATTGTTAACAAATAAAGTCAGAATTTTGTTATTTACAATTTTATTTAATATTAATGTATTATATAATATTTACAAACTTTTTTAAAAGATATAGTAACAGATAAATAATCTATTACATTTAATATTTAATATTTTGAAAAGAAATTATGTGGATATTTTGCATATATACAAAAACACAGAAATAGAGTTTTATATCAACAGCTTGCATATTATAAATTATGATATTACATTTGTAATGTAGCAAGATGTTTCTGACAACCAATGTATATAGTCACATATTAATTAAGCGGATTAAGCATATTAAGCAATAGCGGTGGGTATCAAATTCAAGGCTGAGTTTAATATTATATATAATTTTCACAAAGAAATAGCAACTTGTAAAATAAAAATAATTTTGATTAAGCGGATAATCTATTAATACAACAATTATATTGGATTTAATTAATATGAGGTTTATATGACTTACGCATTAGTATCAAAATTATACTGATCTGTTATCAATTTTTAAAAAATTCGATCTATTTATTATTAATATTTTTACAATAAATAATGCACTGTTTCCTAATTATTATAATATTATTTTTGTATGATTTTTCTCAATTACAGATATGTTAGAATGTTGCATGATGTTGCCTCTTATTAAGATGTTAATTTAGAATAAACCAAATTTTTCAAAATTTATGAAGTTTTCAAAGGATTCCAGTTGTCATGCTTGGTTTCCTAACTTTTTTTTGGAAGGAAATCAATGTGTTAAGTTTTTAAATTTATATAAATTGATGATTCTATTAAATCAAGTCTTTTTTGCGTACTTACGTTATTAGACGGGATTCCGTGACAGTGGTAGCTATTCAACTAATCGAGACAACTCCGGTTACCCATTTATAAGCCTCTTTGCTACAATTTCCAGAAGCATTTGACGCGCTAATAAAGAATGATTCTTTCAAAGAAGCAATGCAAAGCAAATAATTTTACCGACTATAACTTATGACATGATTTTGTATATATATGTATGAATTTTAATGTTATTAATAATATTTGCATTATTAGTAGAAATAAAATAATCACTATTGAATAATAATGTTTGTAATATTCTACAAAATTAGGATTATTTGCAATGTAATTTAAATTATAAACTTGTAGCATTTAGCATGTGCAATAGGTATAATTTTTACAATTGATATAAAATATAATCAGATGTTAATTAAAAAAAAGAAACTAAGGAATATGCATATTGCTTATAATAATTTAAGTATATAATTTTGTATATGTACATTAAAGATATAATAGTGTATGAATTCATAACTTTAAAAGCTTATAAGTTCTTTATTCTGTTTATACTTTATGCTGTTTTATACTATGAAAATTTTTAATTTAAAATTAACATATTTCGAAAACTACATGCGAATCTGACATATATTTGTTCACATTCTTTACAATTCTCTTTTTTGGATATTTATTTCTTTTAATTATTAACAAAACGCAGATGCAATATGAACCCATTTGATATATGTATGACGCGTTTCATTAATATAATATAGTTAAAGTTAATGACAACTAATTGTTAATTATAATAATTATATATGAATTATAGAATTATAAAATAATTTTTTGCACGATCTATGTATATATAGAGAGCTTATACATACACATACATATATATAGATACATGTGTGTGTGTGTGTGTGTGTGTGTGTGTAGAGCACGATTACGCCGCTATTTTCTCGTTCGAGTCTCACTGTGCGAATGACAATTGACGAGACGATAGGAGACGGCTGTGGAATGTAATACATAGGTAGGATTGTAATCAGCATCCTGGTGGAGATATAGTTAGTACATAGGTAGAGTGTGGATCGTGCTGGTGATAAAGGAGTATACATTTCATAGCCTTATCGGCAATGTAAACAATATAAAACATTATAATAATGGGACCAGTGAAGCCGAATACTATATTATTGATAACATATTGCCAAAAGATTTTACAGACTATAACATATACTATACAAAATATTTTTTATACAAATATTTAAAGTATAAATTAATTATTAAGATTCATTTAAAACGATATAATTGGAAGAAATATAATTGATTTTAAATATTTGTATACAGAAATAATCATTATAATAATCACAATAAAACGATAACTTATAATTTTGATTCTTATCAATTCAATTCTTAATTAAATATACATATACAAATTACGCACTATCAATGTATATAAGGGATTTAAAATAATATTTTATAATTTATATAAACAGCTTATATATAAATTTAAAATAAAAAAGAAAATTTTGATAAGTTACAAAATTAATAATTAAATAATGTATATTTATTTTGCACTTTTTATATTTGATTGATTATGATATTCTTATCATTTTATTTTTTTTCTATTATAGGTGGCCGAAATATGGCAAATATATCCGACAATTCAGACTTGCGTACTTTTACTTTGTTTTGAACATTTTTGAATACTTCTTCTTTATATTTATTTTTTACAAATTTTTTTACCTAAAAACAAATTATATTTATTAAAAATTTAATGCTGTACTATAAAAAATTAAAAGTGATATTAAATAAAAAAGTTTAAAATTCTATAACTTTTGATAAAATAAAGAATGAAAATAAATAAATTTATATCTAAGCAAATAAAAATATAACATTAAAAATAATAAAATATACCTTATCAAGTTGCTCATTAGAGTGCACATTGTTAATTATATCATCTAATACATTATCCATATTATAATTTCTGGAAAAAATTAAAAGATTTATAATAAATAAATGCAAAGTATAGAATGTGTAAAATTAATATACCTTGAAACTATTTTTTCCAAATTTTCTAATACATAGTCAATTATTGCATTATTATCAGCATGTTTTGTAATAACAGAAGAGTAAACTATAGAATTATCCTCATCTTGTATTATTGAATTGTTTGATATAGATATATTCATAAAATTAATTAGAATATCAGGATTTTCAGAGCAAGCCAAGTACTGTAAAGCCTCTTTGTTTGATTTATTTACATATATACTTAATAATTTATTCCAAGCAGAAGCGTTTGCTTCCATCAAGCCGTTACAATATGTCCATTCTCTTAAGTTTGGCGAAACTCTACAACATATGTAATAAAAAACTGATATGTGTATGTAAATATTAATAATTTATTAAATATTTTATGTTATATGCGTATATGACCATATTAAATTTATTATTAAAACGTAATAAAAAAAATAAAATTACTTATGTGTTTTGGGATCTGCGAAATGTTCATTTAGTTTAGCAGTGGCCCTTCTTTTGCACTCGGAGAGATCAAAACGGCATGCCCATCTTAAAGCTCGAGTTCTTTTAAACTTTGTAAGATCATCTTCAGTAGGATCTTCTACGTATCCTACATTCTTAACAAGTCCATTCAAAATTTCGAGTATGTACGCCTGTAGAAAAAACATAAAATAATATTAATTTTATATCAGTTTGCGATTGATATGGCTATGAACATTTGGCTGATGAACATAGATATATGTGTGTTTATTCACATATACATATACATATATGGTATATATATATATATGTATATATTATATACATATATATATATATAAATTTGTTTAAGTATTTTGTATTAAATTATTTAAAGCTTATATTGTTTAATTATGTTGTACATATACCTTTATTTTAAATATTTATATTACTACTTACTTTTAAAAACTCAGTTCCTGGCAAATTGTAAAAATCATCTGTAACTTCTAATATTTCAAACATAGGATGCCATGCTATATAGTCTGTTTCCTGTGATAAGTAGCTAATAATATCCAGAAAAGTTAGGATATCAAGTTGATTTGCGATCATAAGGTGATAAGCATCATCGATGATTTGAGCACGATTGAGTACATGAATTTTCGTAAAATTGTCAAATCTGAGATAGTTTGCAATTTTATGCCAATTTGAGGAATCGTAATTAATACGATAATATCCTATCGTAGGATTAAATAAAATAATAATACCATAAATAATAATAATATTAGAAAATAATAATATTATTATAAATTGCATCACACTAAAATGTATCAATTCATTAAGAAAATATGTTTCAATATTTTTCTATTATTTCAGATTTGTCAAGTACATATAAATGCGTGTCGAAAATTTATATTATAAATTTTAAATCATAAAAATATAAAAATCATATAGAAAACAAATAAAATCATATTTATAGAAAAAATAAGTAAAAATAAAAAATATATAAAAATATTTATTAATAAATTTCTAATTATAAAATTAATAATTATTCCTGTTTAAAATAAAAAAAAATATCCGCATTTTAAAATTTACAATTAGATTAAATTAATACCTAATGTATAAAGAATACTCACCTATTTGTTGTAAGTTGACAATAATCCAATCATTTGGATCAATTCCAACAATAGTTATATTTTCATCTTGCGGTCTTAACCAATGAGTAGGCAAAGTATTGGAAAAATCAGGATTCGTTTGCGTAGCAAAAGTCAACGGTATCCACCATCTATCATCATCGATGTGTTTTTCACTTTCTGGGCGGAAATGTTCTTGCGTTAGTACTATCTCATTTGTGTCATTATTTCGGATCACGCGTACCACAGGAAAATGCCTTTGTTTTATCCAAGTATCCATTACCTCTTTCAATCTATAGACATTATGCGGAACATCTGATTCATCTAGGATTATTTGCAAAGCATTCCATAGATCGTCAGAAGTAGCCGAACTGAACTGACTAAATTATAAAATATATTACATATTATAATTATGAAATATATTATAGCAAAAATATAAAAAATAGATTTGTTATTGATCTATAGTTAATTCTATAATAAATCTATAATAATAAATCTATAGTTATACATACATATATGGAGCATTCAGAATGTAATAACAATTCATTTCTTTTTGTTTTGAGAAAGATGAATATAAAGATTTGTAAAATTATTAAGAATTATGCTGTGCAGTGCTGTGATATATTTATTAAACGTACACAATTTTTATTATTTTAAAAGTTAATGAATTTAAATACATTTTAAGCACATAATTAAATGATTGCTTTGTTTATTAAAAAAATGTAAAAAGTAGTTTTAGCTGTACAGTTCAATAGATATTTTATAGATACTTAGCGATTTCCTCAGCTTGAATTTTTTATTTTTACATCAAATTACTATTATATTATACTAAATACATTATATTACACTATTATATTAACTGAATACTTCATATCCTTAGACAAAGAGTTAAATATATTACTTACTGTGTGTGCAAATATTTAATAATACCCTTTCGAAATACTTCATCGGTAATTATATGTTGCAACATGCGCAGTATAGCAGGTGCTGTATGCATAAGTAATAAATATAAAAACATGACTAATATAATAAAATATATCATATCAACATCTATATAAATTAGCCATGAACATGGCTAATCTGATAAAAAATTAACTATATAATTGAAAAGAGAGTATATAGGTATTAACAATAAAAAATTATTTCTATTGTAATAGTTTGTTTTTTTTACTAAAAGATTATTTGTGTTCGGGAATTTGAAGATGGTGATTTATTTACCGAAACTTACCTTTACCGTAACTGGAATAAGAGAAGAGTGATTCGATTTCTTTGGGACTATTGACTTCGAATGTAATAGGTTTCATATTCTTAGCAATATCGATATGAAGAGCTGATTGCTGAGTAGTAATAACAAAGTTTTCCATTACTCGCCAATCCTCAAAAATCTAGTGTTTAATACATAAATTTTAATTTTTAATCAATTAAAATTAATTAAATATTATAAATTAATAATACAATATGCCAAAAATTACTATAATATATAGTGATATAACTGATATAAATGTGTTTTTATAGAAATTTCTTTTAAATTTAAGTAATCATAATATACAATTATTGACGCTGCATTTTTTATCATATAAAAAACTTTGATTTAATAGTATTATATTTGGATTTAATAAAAAAATATGAAGAGCTTTTTGATATATGTATTTTAAGAATAAATATTTTTCCTTATATTTCTAGATATTCACAACAGTTTTTTCGAATACTCAGATATATGCAAGCAAAACTTGCAATAATAAACCTACCTGATCGAGGATATAGTTTTGAAAGAACGATGCAAATCCTTCATTTAACCATACATGAGACCACCATAATGGGCTGACTACATTACCAAACCATTGATGAGCCATTTCATGTGCTGCTGTCGCTGCTACATTTTGTTTATTAGGTATCGTACCAAATCTTTCATCGTATGCAAAATGTGATTCCCTGAAAATTGTTCCAAAAATCATGCAGTTATGTTCATCTCAATGTCCTATTATATTATTGTTATTATATTATTGTGCAATATATCATTAATAACATTAATATATAATTACTTAAAGTTTTAAGTTTTTATGTTATATTTAGCATTTTTTGTTTTTGATGTACAAATATAATATATCTTTTTAATTTTTTCGTATAATCCAAAATATAATTCAATTATATTTTTAATTTTCTTTCTCTGTACATTTTACATTTTGTAAAATTGTTCAGCAAAAAAAATTAATTTGAATTAAATTTTATTGTTTAATAACCAACATTTTTTTTACAAAAAAGAAAAGTTTTTGTTATTTTAAATATAAAATAAAGTTGATAAAATAAAGTAATATTCATAAACTTTACAGTATATATAAAATCAATATATTCTTTCGCAAAATCTACAGTTACAATATTCAACTGTATGCAGAATTAATAATTTGGGTAAAGTAAAAATAATTTTCAATTTATGTAATGCAAGAAATCTGATACAGACGTGCGCGTTGTTCTATTGAATTCAATTTTCTTAAATTACATGTATTACACATAAATGATGAGTCCCCAATTTTCCATGGCGCCAGCTGTGAATTGCCGGACCGCTACGTGATCCATTTTCGGAACCTTATCAGTGCTGTTGGTATATTCTGTCAATAGTAGTCCAGATTTTTCGGCAACCTCCTGTGCTAGTTTTGTATGCGGCGCCAATTTCGGTCTGCACCACATGTTGACAGTCTCGTCTTTATTAGGAACACGAATGTAATCGGCCACTACAAACGCTACGAGATAAGTGGACATGACGGGAGTCGTATTAAAATGTGTCCAGATTGTGCCATCTCCATTATCTAATTGTTCCCGTATCGGCATATTTGATAGAGCCGTGTAATTCTGATGATGTTTATGGAGATATCGAAAGTAGCTTTTAATGCCGGCTCGTCCCAGCATGGAAATGCTCGTCGCGCCCAAGTTGCTTCAAAATGCGATGCGGCCAACCACCTATCATATTTCAACGACACGCTTCTGATAACGATAAATTTTTAGCTACTGTAAATGAGGATGAGTACTTGGAAAACGTGTAAATGTTCATGACTCACGTTTGAACAACAACAATAGTATATATTCTTCTAGATGATATATTTTTTTAGAGTCTGGACGCGACATACGTTATTTGACGAATAAAATAATAAAATTTTCCATAATGCATTCGCGTCCTTTTTCAATAATTTATTAATCTGATTTTATGTAATAATTTGTTAAACTTAGTTATACAATACCATTATTATATAAGACCATCTCAAAAATTGTTTTCTTAGTTACAATTCTTTAAAAATTTTTCGTAAAATATTAAATAAAGTTTTCCGAAATTTTACGAAAAATATGAAATATAAGGAAATATATTATTGCATTAACAAAAATAATATTGTTAGGAAAGTGTTTAAAATATTAGGTACATATACATATATGCGCAATTATGACATCAAACAGATTCACATTAAGTCTTATATTTTATGGAGTTAAAAACATAGTGATTTGATGATGGCAAAAGTAACAAATAGATAATAGTAATAAATACTGTTTAAAAAAAGAAGAATATATATAATATAGGAAATCTTTCAAATGTTAAGATTTACTTACACTTTTTTGCCTTTTTCTATATAAGATGTTCTGAAAAAACCTTGCAAGTCGTCGTTTAAAATACCGACGTAGTTCATCTTTAGGGTATAATTTCCAGGTAATAGCTCATCATTAAAATTAAGGACTAAAATCTGTGTTATATTGTTGTAATTATATGTCGCTGGTTTATGGTCAATGCCTTCGTTGTCAAATAACGATGTCGCTGCTTCGTCTATTATCAATTCTAGTGCGTGCAAACTTAAGTCTGACGTTGTACGACGAATTGTGATATTGGCACTGATTTCACCGTCAAAGGTAAAGTTATCTACCTCGATATACGGTATTAATTTAATATTGTAATATACCGGAGTTACAATGTCCGGTAAACGATAATTAACCGCTACGTGAGAATCATTTCTCGAATTATTGTCAACAGGTATAGCCACTATAGCAGTAAATAATAGGCTGATATTTATTAACAATTTTAAAATCGCCATGCTATTTCTTCTTTTAAAGATCTGCACAAACATTTTCAGAAGAAAAAAATATTACAATTCAGATATAATGAAATCAGATACATGCTTTTTTGTAATTTTAAACAATGTTCAAATGTTAGTTTCTAAATGTAAAAAATAGAAGTGCAAAGAAAATTTTTAATAAAAAACCAATCTTAGTCACTGGTGACTAAGATTCTTGTGAACAGTTAACATCTATTTAATATGTGCTTACTTCTGTCAGTCTTACATTGTTCATCAAAACAAGCGTTAACATTGTCGGTGGTTTGCATAGAAGTTGAGTTACTGTTTTAAATTGATGTACTTGAAAAGGGCTGCAATGACAGCCGAAACGTTGTATTTCAAATAATTATTTATAATAAATTATTGCCAGTCTGGTCGACTTTAAACATTGAGGAGTGGTTTTTTATTAATTATTACTGGCAACCTTAAGGATTATTATTTAAAATTTTTAATATTTTTTAACAAGTAAACAAAAATATTATATTTTTAATTTAAAATAAATATAGATAATTTTTATTTATATATTTGCAATACGGTTTATTATTTTAATTTGATAAATTTTGATGATACAATTTTTTTCTTATGTAGTGCATTATAATATCAGATATATAGAAAATGTCTTTCGCTCTCTCTCTCTCTCTCTCTCTCTCTCTCTCGCTCTTATATCAGTGCTTATTGATATTGTTGCGCACGTAGCAAGAATATTGATTATATCAATATTTGAATCTGAATTCGTGATAATTTGAACGTCGAAAGCATGACAATAAAATGTTGACGAGATATAATCTCTGCCGACATTATAATCAGTTTTTATATTGTTATCAATATATATGATTAATATATGACCAATATATGTGATTAATCAATATATGACCAATATATGATTAATATTACCTCTTATGCTAACTATATATGTGCGTGAATAATCCTTGAAATCCGAGTAATAAAACGTTGTATGAGCTTCGCTCTCACACTTATTGTTAGTATGACTAATATTACCTTACTACTGCATAGTAAAGTGATAGACTCTACTTCTAAAGCAAAAAATGTATTCACTTGACGTTCAATTCTCATGTTTGATTATCGTTCGATTAATATGACAGTCGGACGTTTGACGATCATCCGTTGTTATTTATTCAAATGTGTCTCTACAGCATGAATAATTTTATATCATTGACCTGTGTCCATTGACATCGAAATATACATACATATAGGCGGAGCATTCTGAGAGGGATAACTGATAATTGCAGTAAGGGTGACAATGCATATCAGCTAATTCCGCAATCAGCGCGATTCGGTTTGTTATTGTTTGGCGTTGCGTGACATTCATCAATATTAGCAATTTTTTACGAGATTTTCATGAAAATTTTCAAAGAAAACGTTTATTTTGAAAAATCTTAATGGCACTTAAAGAATTATATGTATATTATATATATGTATATATACATATATATGTATTCTTATTCTGTTTAATCTAACAGAATTACATGCGTGAGACAAAGTTATATTATTTTTAATAAACTAGACTACACAAGCGCGCGCTTTGTGCAAGCCTTTCGTATTATTTCTATTATTTATTTTACAACTGTCAAATTGTTAATCTTTACAATGACAGATGTTTATTATAGCATTATTTATATAAATATGACTATAATTTTAATTTGTCGAATTTCTATTATGTACATAATTTTAATTCACCGAATTTCTATTATATTGTTTGACTATTTTGTATTTATATATATATATATATATATATATATATTTTCTCATTTTGTTTAGTTTAATCAAACATAATTACGTGCGCGAAGCAAAATTATATTATTCTTTAATAAAACTTTAAACATTGCAACGCATATATAAAATTATTATTGCAATGCATGTATAAAAATATATTTATTAATTATGCAACGCATAAAAATTCAATATTTAAATCTTTAACAGAAAATAGGAACAAAGAAATAAAATTTTTACAAAAATCTTTTATGATCAAGTGTATCTACGTTTTTATTAGACTCGCGCAAAACTTCATACCCCATACATTCATTACGCTGCGCGGCTCGCTGCGAGACTGATTCTCGTGCGAGGTATCGCGAACGCGGGACCGATGGTCACATGATCACTGGTCACATGACCAGTGGTCACGTGACCACTGGTCATGTGACCATCGGTCCCGCGCTTGCGATACCCCGCATGAGAATCAGTCCCGCGCGAGATGCGCACCGTGATGGACGTATGGGATGTATTAATCTAATAGTAAGGATAGAAAGAGATAGACTGCACGGATTGGTCCCAAGGCTCGCAAGACTGACAATGAGCAGTAATGATGTCGCCATCTAACAGCGAAACCTAACTTTACAGCCAAGAATAAACCGGGCTCGACGAAAACATCTTTCTTTCTATCCTTTCCATTAGATTAGTACACCCCACACATCCGTCACGGTGCGCGTCTCACGCGGGATTGATTCTCGTGCAAGGTATCGCAAGTGCGAGACTAATGATCACGTGATCAGTTTCGTGCGAGCCATGCCTCTAAAGTTTCTTTAACAAAATGACATCATAACATTAACATCCGATATTTAAATTATTCTGATGTCAATGGAGCCAAACATTAGCAGAGAGTAATGGAATTCAATCGAAGACTATCATAGACTATCCCTTCATCGCGAATATCAGACTCCCTCGTTTTAATCAATAGCTAATACTTTGATCATTATTGATCATGATCAATGTCTGTGCATTTTATGAAACGGTAGTGTGCGCGTTATGTTTAGTTATTATAATTTACAAATGCCGGAAAAGCGTAAAAAATATAAATTAAACAATCTCTATTGTTATCTTTAACATAAAGCTTTACCTCGACTTATTTATTATTATTTAAATATATTCAATGTATTTTGTGTATAAAATAGTTACAAATATTATTTTATTATAATTATTATATAATAATAAAAATCTAATAATAATAAAATCTAATAATAATAAAAATAGTTCTCTCGCATTTATTTATTTATTTCCGTAGGGGGATTAGAGGGTATTGAAATTAAATATCAAGTATGAGATTATTTCATATTTTAAGTCTTAGTAGTCTACTGAGAGATTGATATGTGCCTTGTGCATAGTTTATTTCCAACGAAAACTTAATTTTTGTTGGAAATGTACGCAGCATCATCCGCGTATGGCTCTTTAGGTCGTTCTTAATCTTGATCATTAAAAATAGTATATTTTATATCAGAAATATGTATTTTGTTAATTTTTCAAAATCAAATACTACAAATAAATGATTTTTTTATTAAATTAAAATTACATTAGAAAACATTTTGAAATTAAATTAAAACGAGATAAAGTATAAGCGAGAATCATCACTGGAATCATCAGCAATTTTTTATAATCAAGTTTAAATAATATATCATAAAAATGTGCAAATGTCGCAATTTGTGCACACATTGCGATATATCTATTAAAATTTGACAAAAAGATTAATATTTCTTTTTCTTTCTTTCTTTTTATTTTAATTATAAATAACTATAAATTACGTAAAAGTTATTGTATAAATAACAATCAGCATATGTAAGTATATTTACATAATTATGCATACAATTATATAACTATATTACATATTTCTCAATTAACTGTCGATGTTAATTTTTCATGATACATAAAATAAGAACCTGTATTTGATTTTTTTTATAAATCAACATATTATATACGTATTGTAATTCGATATATATATATGTATATATATATATATATCGAATTACAATACATATATATATATATATATATATATATATATAAATTTTGTGATATCATGTAGCACTTACCAGCAAAATTGCATCTTCTATATATCATATAGATTATAATGGTCTTTTGCATGATGGTAATATTTAAAATCTTAATTAATATAAAGTTGATGAGATAAAATATAATACATCTGTATGAGATATTCTATTTCTTCTCACTTGCAAAATCAAGTGCGAGAATGTCTCAACAATAAAATTGGAAGGCTCGAAAAAAATGTTGCATTGCATCAATTTGATCGAGAGATTTTGAATCTAACGTCATTGATATGAGACATTACAACACCACGATAAATTACGAAAGTATTATGTATTAAAATTTTTCAGTTGAATCAGTCGAATAAGAGCAGTATTGGAATGAGCACAAGGAACGACGCCAAAGTAATAGAACTTGCAGAGTTATCATCTGTTTTAAATCCTCCTTGAACCAGGCCCCAACTTCTGGTCCGTAGGATTTGATCCAGGCAAGGTTTTCTATCGCTTGACTCAATGCTGTAACCTTTTCAACCTTCTTCAAGTGTGTGTCTGTGAGTAATGATAACTGAAATGTAAAAATATTCTTATATAAAAAATTTGTATGTAGAATCATTAATATCTGTTGTCATTGATAATGAATTTTTAGTATATGATGTGCGCAGTTGATGACACATGTTAGAGGTTGGCTACATGTTAGAGGTACAATATCTCATGAAATTATGAAATACCTAATCAATCCACTTCCAGATAAGATACAAACGTGATCAAGGATGAGATAGAAATGAAACTCGTAGGTTCTAATTACTGAAATTTGTTTACACAAAAGATATATTATCGCATTCTAATATTCGCATATGGCGCTTGTAACTGCTTAAAAAAATATAAATTGAAGATGATATAAACTTTCTAGAAACATGTTCTGCAATATTAAATTTTGATATAGATTCAAATAAATTATTAATTAAATTATATTTCACAAATTATGATAAAATTTTAATTTATACTATACGAGTATCGTATGTATATGTATATGATATGATACGTAATTATTACATTTAAAATGAGAAAAATAGATTAAATTTATTTAGAAAATATGTCATAAAAAAACTGAAGTTTATCTATGAAAAAAAACAGAGATCAATATATAAAAATAATATTTTACCTTTCCATATTGCTCGACATTTACAACCCTATTAGCAAGTTTATTAACGAGAGCGGTAAGTTGAGTCTCATCCTTATCTCTGTAGAGAAACCATTACACCATCAATTTGCATTTATAATATAGTATTATTAAAATTAAGAAAATAACTCACGTGTTTTTGATTGTTTCAATATGTTCATTAATAAAATCTAGAAGAATATCAAAAGACTCGACGTTGCCTGCCAAATCGAATTTATAGCAGAGAAAGTATCGATGTTGGAGTTTTGTTCGATAGTTAAATTGAGGAAGTTCTGTATAATTTCTTTAGATTTAGCGCAACCAAGGCCAATCAAAATGTCGCCTCGTTCATTATTATCTGTACTGTTCTTGTACTTATCTTTAACCTTGTCCCATATATCTTTATTCGCGTTTCGCAATCCGGCACAAATAATTCCACTTCTCAAATCTGGTGAAAGACTACAAAGCATTCGTGATCAGAATTATATTACAATTTATAAATATATACACACACACCACATATATATATATATATATATATATATATATATATTATATATATATAATTAGAGATGTGCGAATCAAGGATCGAATATTGCCAGATTCGATTCGATTCGAATTCGAATAATTCGCACATCTCTAATATATATAATATTTGCAATAAAGAATTTATAGATTTGTAGATTTTTTTACAATTATATCGCCAGAAAAATTGTATATTTTGTATTAAAATTCTTTAGATAATATATTTATTTACTGTTTGTACGATAACTTTGCAATAAAAGTTTAAATCGTTATTTATTGCAAGTAATTATAATTGTAGATTCATAATTACGATAAGCTTTTGTACTTACTTCGTTTTTCCTTCATCTTTTAACCATTTTTCGAGTTCCGTCTTAGCAAAGTTTTCGCAGGTTTCAAGTCCGTAGTAACAAGCGGTATGTAGTGCTAATACTTTACCTAGTTTTGTTACATGTGTACCTTCTTCGGGTTTATCGTATTTGACTTCTTCTGTGAAAGCTTTTATTTGCTTAGCGACATAAATCTGAAATTCAATGATACATTAGAGGAAAAGAGAGAGAAAAAGAGAAAGAGAAAGGACGAGTACACATACATACCTATACATATACACACACATCCGCAAACACAAATACACACATACACACCACTTGCATGTATTTTTTTTACACTATTAAGATTTTTAATACAATCAATGAGAACACATGTGTTCTTCTTCATATTCAACTTACATGATATTTTTCATAATTTTCCGTGTCTTGTAATAGATTGTCCAGAAAATTGAATGCTCTGACAGCCGCGTACCATGGTATGTAATCGGTTTCTCGTAATAGATACTTTGTAATCTTCAAAGACTCGTTATACGACAAATATCCCGCTCGCGCAAGATTTAATGCATCGTCAATCAACTGGGCACGATTGGTATTGCTTATAGTTGTATAATTATCTTCTTTTAAATATGTCGCTAGAAGATTCCAGTTTTCGAGATGATAATTCACGCGATAATATCCTGTAAAATAATATTATTCTGTATTTTTCCTAGCAACGTTTGTTTGTTTGTTTGTGCGTATGTGTGTTTTTGTATTTTCATGATAAATTTTTACATTATTTCACAATTAATTATAAAAATAATCTTATAACAAAAATATAATAACAATTTATATAAATCATATTATTTTTTATACTATTAATCACATATATTCATATAGTTTACTATTATATAATATATTAATGACAATTCCAAAGTTAAAAGCATGTGCGTCAAATATGTTTTGTTAAATAATTAAAGAACGCTTTTTGATACGTAAAATACATACAAAAATCTTTATCATAAAAGAGAATATGCATATAAAGAAATAATTATCAATTATTGGAATGAAATTAATAGCATCATTAATATACGATTAGTAAAGATCAAAGCATCATAATAATGCATGCTTACCTGTTTGATTCTTATTGATAAGTATCCACGTTTCATTGTCCAGTTTATTATTAACTACAATGTGTTGCGTGTAAGGATTCATCCAGAGTTTGTTGATAGTATTGGGTTCTTTTTTTGTGACGTAAGTAATGGGTATGTACCACTCAGTTTTATTAGTCGCATCTTCCTGTGTTGGTTCTGTCAGGAAAAATCGTTCCTGTGTTAGATTAACTCTATCATCCGCGATTTTAGAGACCGTGACAACAGGATATCCAGGTTTATTTAACCAATTGTTCATAACATCATTAAGCGAAATATTTGTATTCGGTAAAGCATTTTTAACCTTCTCAGGTTCAGCGTCTTTAATAGCTGCAAAGAGCTTTTCCGATGTAACGGGCTTAAACTGACTAAAATAAAAAAAATGTATTATTTTACTAAGCATATTTTTTAGAATGCTGCATATACATATATATAATTATAGTTATATTTAGTATTATAATATTATTTGATACCTTTACAATGATAACTAAATTTAAATTTAAATTAATTAAAAATTTAAGCATATATCGACATAATAATGATAGAAAATAAACAGTAATAAATAATTGTATTTAAAAGTGCTGCACATAAAAATATTAGCACACAAATTTATGTAATTATAAAAATAATTATATAATTAATATAGTATGCTGTCTTCTAAGCTGGGCAATAGAGCCAAGAAACGAAACGAAAATTAATTAAACGGAACTGTATCTCAATTTGAGATCCCAAAGTTCCACATATAAATTAATTTCGAAACTTACATATGGAGAAATAAGCGAGAAAAATATAGGTCCGAAAAGTCGCTGAAGCGGGAATCGAACCCGCGTCTTTCACTTTCCGGGCGACTGCTCTTACCAACTAAGCTATTCAGACCCTTTCGATCCTATATTTTTCATTTGCCTTTTTAGTAGATGTTAGTAAATACCGCCGTGATTAGCCCAAGGCGTGAATAAACTCAGAAATAAATATTTTTATCGGCTCTCAATATAAATAATATAAGTATGCTGTCTTCTAAGCTGGGCAATAGAGCCAAGGAAACGAAACGAAAAATTAATTAAACGGAACTGTATCTCAATTTGAGATCCCAAAGTTCCACATATAAATTAATTTCGAAACTTACATATGGAGAAATAAGCGAGAAAAATTAATTTTTCGTTTCGTTTCCTTGGCTCTATTGCCCAGCTTAGAAGACAGCATCTTATATTATTTATATTGAGAGCCGATAAAATATTTATTTCTGAGTTTATTCACGCCTTGGGCTAATCACGGCGGTATTTACTAACATCTACTAAAAAGGCAAATGAAAAATATAGATCGAAAGGGTCTGAATAGCTTAGTTGGTAAGAGCAGTCGCCCGGAAGTGAAAGACGCGGGTTCGATTCCCGCTTCAGCGACTTTTCGGACCTATATTTTTCTCGCTTATTTCTCCATATGTAAGTTTCGAAATTAATTATATGTGGAACTTTGGGATCTCAAATTGAGATACAGTTCCGTTTAATTAATTTTTCGTTTCGTTTCCTTGGCTCTATTGCCCAGCTTAGAAGACAGCATACTTATATTATTTATATTGAGAGCCGATAAAAATATTTATTTCTGTAATTATATAATGTTTAGCAAATATATATATATATATATATATATATATATATATATAAAGCTTTAAAATTCTTTTATTATTAGAAATATGTAATCATAATGTGTGACTTACTTGCATTAAGATACTTTTTAAGTCCATTTTTGAAGACATCTTCTGTCAAAAATTGTTGCAACATCCGGAGAATAGAAGCGCCTATAAAGATGAATAAAATCAATTAGAGTAATAACTATATCACTTTTATATTACGTTAAAAGAGGAAACTTACCTTTTTTATAAGCAATATCGTCAAACAAACTGTGGATTTGAGGAGGGGTTGTTGCACTAATTTCAGAATTCAATGAACGAGTTTTATTAGTTGCATCAATAACAAATGCAGATGCTTGTAAATTTTTGATAACAAATTGATCCATAAGATGCCAATCCTCTTGATACTGTAATTTCAATTAAAATTAATTAAACCAGCTAATAATTTTCTTGTCTATTACGATTCTTTTTACAATGCATTTTTTGACATAAATTTGCCTCCGAACAGACTTTTACAACGCACAAAATAAATTGATTACAATGTTGAAATAAATTATCTCTTTTATAACGCATAAATATGATAATATTATATATTTAATTTTTTTCTTAATTAAATTGTTTGAACAGAATTTAGCCAGAATTTATGCAGTGCACATAAAATTGTTTGTATTATTGTAATTTATAAATACTTGATATTTTACTTACCAATGTCTGAACAACCTGATCGGTTATATAATATTGGAAGAAGGTAGCAAATCCTTCGTTTAACCAGATATAATCCCACCATGCGCAAGTCACTAAATTACCGAACCACTGATGAGAGAATTCATGAGCTATCACTGTTGCTATAGACTGCTTGTCTTGCGTAGTTGTCTTATTTTCAGTGTAGAGAAGCGCGGACTCCCTTAAAAAATAAACAGCACGTTATTTTTCGATGCGCCAATAAGATGTTTATAAACGATTCTAAATTTTTTTTGAGATTGCAAATGAAAATCAATGCAGTGAATAAAATGGTTGACATTTTATTTTAAAAATTTGTATGTTCTAGACAGAATTGATTAGCACATTGTATAAAATGTTAAGTTAAAAAGTCGATAAAGATAATGCAAGCTCTTGAAATTTACACGTTTAAGATAAAACTGTTATGAACTTTGTATTAACCAGATATACATAGAGATTTATGTTTTATCATTTGCTGATTAACGAGCTTTGAGCAATGTTACCTATAAGTGACGAGACCCCAATTCTCCATAGCACCGGCCGCAAAATCGGGGATCGTAATTTGATCCATCTTCTCTATTTTGTTGTAATAATCGATGCCAGTGAACTCATGTAGTTTTTTAATGTTTCTTGCCCGATCTTGTATGCAAATTCTGTGCTATTAATTGCGTCAGGTCTTGTTAAAACGTCAAATGTGTCGTTTTCCCGCAACCTTTTATAATCCGAAACTACAAAGGCCACGAGGTAGGCAGACATTTCTGGTGTTTTCTGGAAACTTATTCTCCTATTTTCATTTTTTAAAATCTTTGTATTCGAGACCGCACTGTAATTCTCGGGAACATTGATAATAATATTGAAAGTTGCCTTTATTGCAGGCTCGTCCCAGCATGGGAATGCTTGTCTTGCACCTACCGGCTCGAAGTGAGTCGTTGCGAGCCATCTGTAACATATGGAAGATTGCATTATTACAAAAAATGGTTTTCTATTTCATATATTTCTGCTTATTAAAATAAAATTATTTGTTTCAATCAAAATATTTATTTTAATCTTAGTTTACTAATAAAAAATAAAATTAATATTATCCTACAAATCTAATATCTACAAATAAGATTGATCTTCTCGTTCTTGTGACAGAAGATTTTTAGAAAATTTATATATAGAAAATGATATTACAGAACGTTGACAATGTGTAAGATTGACAATGTAAGATTTGAAAATCATTGTAAAAATTTTTTGAATCTATATAATGGAAAAAGCTTATATTATAGTATAAAGAATTTTAGTCTCAAAAAAATTTAAATAGATTTTTATATAATTATTATCTTACCTTCTTTCATTTCCCTTTTGATAAGAACTTCTATAGAACCCACGTAATTCATCATTTAACAGTCCAGTATAATTTAAAGTTAGTTTTACATTTGTCGCGTTGTTAGTAATCGTAGTGTTCAAAGTTACTATTACGAAATCCCTTTGTTCGTCGAATTTGACTGACTCAGTGAGGTTATTTTTTGTAATGTCACTATTAGGATTTTTATACTCCAAAAAAATGTTATTAAATGTAATATTTTTGGCATGAAATGTTATATTTTCAATATTCTTTTGAATTGTGAGATCAATCGTAGAGTTTCCTTTGAAAGTAAAATTCTTTGCATCGCCTGTGTCAAGATATGGCGTTAATTCAATAACATAATTGGTAGGTATGACACTGTCCGGTAATTTATAGTCGTCTGAAATTTCCTGAATGAGTTGTGGAGCAACGCTATCAAATATAGGATTGCCTGCCCAGCAAGTCGCCAGGACAAGCATCAATGGCAGCAGGTATCTCATTGTTAACATCTCTTATAAACGAAAGAATTTTACACGATCCACCCTGTTATTATAATTAATTATAATTAAAACACGAATATATATAAAAAATAATGAAGTGCATTTAACAATATTGATGTTTTGATGTAATAATGTAAAAATGGAATTTAATCTATATCGATTTAGAAGACATTTGACTCGAAATTTATTGATGATAATTTAATAATTGTTCAAAGAAAATATGTTACGTGTGTGTATTTAAATTATATAGTATATACGAAATATACAATTTCGATATAAATATCCGCTCGCGCTATAAGCTTCTATTAACAAAAATACTTTTATGTTAATTAATTATTCTGTAAAAAAATAAATCCCATCTTCTTAAAAAATAAATTTAATTTTTTATTTTAATTTATATTTTGATAAATTGAATTATTAGAATATAATTTTTAATATATTAGCATTAGTATTAGATATGGTAAATTTGTTAATAAATGGTTAAAAATGAAACTGCACATACACACACATAATTGCAATAGATTAAGAGTCAAATCGTTGTATAACAAATGCCTTGCACACATTTCTTTGTTTTGCAATAAGATTAATTTCCTTTTACACAAATTTAATTTTTCGATTTTAATAGAATCGAAATAACGTACCTTAAAGCTAATGAAAGATGAAGAGCCGTGCGGGTCGATGCCACGTCCCCGCAGAGGCAAGATTTTATTGAAAGACTACCTGGCCAAAATTCGGAGCCTTATAAGGTAGCAATGGTAGGACGTATCGCAGAAAAAACGTCGCTGTTTTTTCTAATCTTATCGCGACGGTCTCACGGCGCAATAGGTGTTATACTCTTTGGGGTATGATCGCTAAATGGACGCTATTCTGAACGCGGCTCGCAAAATTTCCTGAACGGTTTCAATATTGACAACGCTGATAATGCGATAACTTAAATACATTGTTATCCGGCCAATCAATGCCAAGCCAGATCAGAGATATCACAGAAATCTCACTTTTATCGTTGATATCTTGTGGAAAGTGCCGAATGGTACTGCTTAAACTAAATGCTGCGTCGATTTGTTACGGATTTGTAAAATTATTATACATTTATTTGTTTTTATAGTATAAATCATTTTTTCATGTAAGTAAAATTTTGTGTTAATTTAAAAAAAAATCTATATTTTATCTTAAATGAGATGCTTGTGATGTAATGGATAGAAAAACTATGTAACATTAAAAAGAAATACACAGTGATTAAATGAGTTTAACTCTATATTAGAAAAATTAAAATAATTATATTTTTGTTTAAAACTTATTCCTTCAGTGTCGATACAACAATCTTCCTTTCAAGTATAATTATTATTACTTTTTTTTTATTGGTAACATTAAAATATAATTATTATAATTATAGTAATAATTATTGCCATTAATAATATAAGTTGCATTGCATTGTAATTATTTCTGGATGTTCAATTTATTAATTTTATTAATATTATTCAGTAAATTAATTTTTATTTATTTGCAATATGTGTAAATACGATGATCAAAATCAATTCTAATATCAAACAATTGTTCAATCATATACATAAAAATACTTGCACGTAATAAGATTTCTTATAAATTTTTTATCATTATCTACAATATATTTACGCAGACAAAGATAAACATTGATTGATCCATTTAGAATATTATCAACGCAACATATAATATAATTCAGATTCACAGAATATTAATTTTGTAGCGCGAAAGTTTCGTCGCGTTATATGTATATGTATTTATATGTGTGTCTAGCATAATTAAAATACATAACATAACGAACGTAAATAGGAGAATTTGTTATTATACTCTAAATATGTATGTTGTAAAAAAGTTTAATTGCATTTCTAAAAGTTTTTGATTGAATCATAAAATATATCGCAAAAAATGCGACCAATATGCACACAAGTACATAAATTGATATATCAAAGGTAATGATCATTACGTTATAAATAAGAAAAGATTTACGCACACATAATATGTGTATAAATGTTTATCAATTTTATATAACAACATGAAAAAAACGGAACAAATAACAGTCTCAATCTTAACAATATATTAGATATAGTTCTTGATAATTATGTTTGTTAATTAATTTAAGTAACATTTTTTGTTTCATGCATAGATAAATAATTAATATATAAAAAAATTAAAATTTAAACAATGTTTAATAATGATTTCTATCATATACTTACAAATACTCATATGCCCAGTAAAGTCGTTGAGTATCATATTCTCTTTTACAAAAATAATTTTTAATTTTTTTATTCAAAGACGATTTATAAATACAATATTTTATTAAATTCTAAATTCTAATTAGATACGTGCGCACGAGACACTATTATACACATTATCTCTTGATAAATACATACTAGATAACTTTTAAAATAATATATTTTATAAAATAACTTGTAATTATATTTTAATTTTTTCATCAAATTATAAAATTAATATTTGTGAAAGTTGGTTTTATAATATTAATACAAAATGCAATTTACACATTTTAAATATAATCTCATAAAGTCCTCTTTTACGTGCTTGTATGTATATTTATTTAAATTTAATTACAAATACAACGTGATCACTATATTAGTATAATATATTCTCGTAATATGTCTTTAAATCATTAATTTAACAATAATGCTTTCTCGATTGCAGGCAAAAATTCATTAATCCATGTTATGGACGCTGCAGAAACAGTTATAGCTTTCCTTGCTGAATTCAACGCTGATCCTAGGTCTTTGATATTCTTGTCAACAAAAAAGCGAAACTGAAATAATATAAACATTATATTTTTACGTTATACAATTTTTACGGTGCAATAAATTCGATTAGTACATTATCCAAATAGTATAAAATATATATGATAAGATATTGTATTAATTATTATATATTAAATAGTATAAATGATTGCAATATACCTTGTTTAATTGAACTTCGGTTATAATTTTATTTCCTATAGCAGTAAGCATTTTATTTAAGAAATCTATTCCTCTTCTATAAAATCAGAGAAAAGATATTACTAGATTGATTTTGAGTTATAACTTCTTTTCTCTCGTTATAATTAATTAACAAATAATAAAATATAAAATAAAAGATTTTAATCAAATTTAATCGTTTTTTATAGAAATTTATATTCGCCGATACATATATAGCCCAATCAAATATTTGTCATTTCAACAAATAATATAATAAACGACAGTACTTTGTCGGCTCTCAAATTGCAAATTCTGATCAAATAAATTTATATAATAAAGAAAATAAAACAAATAATACATACAATTTTATAACTGCATGCAAATTATTGTGAATAAAATCGATAACAGAATTCACATTTTCGGGATTGCCATTCAAAATCGCATTAATTATCATTATTCTGTATTGCTTGCGGAGGTTGAATTCATAATTTATGGAAATATTAAGATATCTGAAAATCAAAATATTTAGAATCAGATTAAACATGCTTATTTACGTAATCCGATTCTTGGAACCCACTTTTCGATTAATTGTGCACTTTTAGTACATCCAAGTGCATTTAGCAGAAGTTCCTGTTCTGTATGTAAATCAGAGCGGAGAAACCGATTCCAGACTGTATGCCAATCATTATCATTACCTCCACGAATGCCCACACAATACACAAAACTCTTAAGATTTGCTGATACTCTGCGTATACATCAGTGAAATATATCATTATAAAGCAATATATATTGATTAATCAACTATCTTTTTCAAAGAAGAAATGTACAAGAATACCTATTATAATGCAGAAAAGATAAGATATAACAATTCAAGAGAACTGATATTCTGTGTTGTATATGTCAAATATATTATTATAAAAATTGTTGTGTTAATTAATTAATTATTTTTTTTTAAGAAGTAGCGTACTCTATAAAAATTCTGTAAAGTATAGAATAAAAGATAAGATATAACAATTAAAAAAAATTGTGATATATATCCAGCATTGAATATTTAAATCTACTTGTAATCATAAAACATAGCTATAATACTGTAAACAATATAAACATACATATTGATTTCAATAGAAATTGCCATAGTAATGTCGTACCTTTTCTCCGACATAGAAATCCATGAATTAAATAGAAATTTTGATATTTTTAGACAGTGGATGTTGTTGACTGAGCACGCAGCCGATAAGATTAATTCGCGATGTAATTTTATTGTGAAACTGTCTGCTGGGTTTTCGATGAAGTTCAGTAAAGTGTATATAGATTTTAGTATAAGATTTGCGTAAGTCTACAAATTTATATTAAATTATTAAATTAAATTAAAATGTTCATTGCTTGACGAAATATTATTGTTGATTTATTGTTCAGAATGAGAAAAAGTTGTTTACCTGAAAAAGTTGTTGTACTCGCGGTGAGCTAGCGAGAATATGATTGAGGAAATTAAAGTTATTTATCGCAGCAACCCACGGTTCGTACTCGGTTTCATGCATGAGATACATCGCAATATTAAATGGAATAGAATAATTCACATAACCGGCTCTAGCTAAATTAAAGGCGTCATCTAGAAGCGCAGCCCTGTTTATCGCGTGTATTTTTTAAATTCTTCAATGTCAGATAATCGATAAGCATCTTCCAGTTATTCTCGTCATAATTGACTCTATAATATCCAACTTGCTGAACATTGAAAATCACCCACGAGTTTGACTCGAAAGAACCAATTATTGTTCTCTTGACCTGCGGCTCCAACCATGCTGCTATATTGATTCGATCAAACGTAAATTTGAGTTTTCAATTGCGAAAGTCAGTGGTATCCACCAACCAGATTTGTCTGTTTGCGTTGTATGGCGATTTAAGTAAAATCGTTCTTGCGAAGCGTAAAGAGTTTTCGCGGTGTAGTTTCGCGTAATGGTTATTAAGGGATATCCTGGTTGATTTGCCCAGGATTCCATGATATCTTTTACGAGCAAATGCTTAGGCAGTTGCTTTAATTTATCTGATGCAGTCTGTAAGTTTCGATATAAATCGGATGGACGTGCTGCTTGATATGACCTAATAATATAGAAATAAATAATATCTTTGTAAAGTAGTAACAGATTAACAAGAGAAAACGAAATGGCAATTATAAATTTCAATAAATTAGCTTATCGCGTGCATGTCAATATACATTTACGATTTTATATTAAATGCAAAATTGTGGATAGAGAGAATTTGAAAACATTTTTAGTTACGTAGGCTTACATTTCACGCAAATAACTCTGCAAGCCTAATTGAAATGCTGTGCTTCCGATGATATAATTGATCATACGAATTATGGATGCACCTGTAAATGAGATATAGCGTATTAATATTTATGTATTTTATATTGATGAATTGATATGTGTGTAAAATAAATGTTATATATTATTAAATATTTTTCTAATAAAAGATTGAAATGTTCAGTAAAATAAAAAGAAATATGTACGTTTTATTATAGAATATGAGTTTCATATTTCGTTGTATTATTTAATTATAAAAAAGAGGAAAATCAATTTCACAATGTCAATTTAACTTTCTAGTACAATTAATTTAAAATTTATTTTTCTGCGATTTGGTGCGTCATCGATATTTTAATCGAAGTTTCGAAATCTAGAAAGATAATCTCAAAATGACGATTTATATGAATTTGTTAACGTATGTGAATAAAAATATATAGCGTATAATATTAAACATATGTGTTAGAGATGTGTAAAATGTGTTAGATATATAGGAAGATTAATTTGTAGAGATTAATTTTTCCAATAATTTTTTTGCACATATGGTTTAAATATATGTGACCACTTGTGAAAATAAATTATCACATGATTGGCAGATATCTTTATCTGTTTTGAGAAATTTTTACACGTATACGATCAACAGGTTGTGTAAGAAACAGATGACGCAGCACATGTAACTAAAATCAAATGATTGAATACAAAGTGTTTACAAAATACAGTTCTCTGGTTCATTCTCAGTTCATGTTTAATTCATTGTCAGTTCATATCTTATTCATTCTCGGTTTATGTATTGCATTCTATAGTTGCATAGTATAGTTCTGTTTCATAAATGTTTTGTATAAAAATGATTCCAATATATTTTAAACGTGTTAACATAACTATCTCAGAATTTACAGAAATAAAATAAGGGCTATTTGTATATAATTTATACGCACCTTTTTCGTAAGAAACGAAATCCAAAGTAGCCATAATGCTGCTACGATTTCCGACCTCCTGACCGTTCAGTGTACGTGTATGATCATCGGAATCTGCGAGTAGCGTCGGTTGAAGACAATCTACTACGAACACATTCATCATTCTCAGATCCGGTTTTACTATGGATACACCGAAGTATTGGAAATACGTAGCGAAACCCTCCTTCAGCCAGACGACGTCCCAGAATTCGGGCGTCACCAGATTTCCGAACCAGGTGTGAGTGTACTCGTGAGCCATCGTTGTCAATCCATTCAATACTATTCTCGTCGGCGTGATTTCGTTCTCATGCAATACTACGGATTCCCGATAAGTGACGAGGCCCCAATTCTCCATCGCGTTAAAATTGAAATCCGGTATTGCAAATTGATCGACCTTCTCCAGCGGGCTCTTCACCGACAACCACGTCTGCAATGCCGAGAAGACTGCCTGACCGCGATTCAAGGCCATCGATCCGCGAAACTTCATGGAATCTCTCGTCCACATCTTGAAGTCCTCCGAAATTTTTGATCGCTCCGGGATAAAATTGTGCACTGTCCATCCTACCAAGTACGTGGGAATTCGCGGCGTTCGGCGAAATGTGGTCATGTAGTAAGTATCATTTCTATAAATATCAAGAATGAAACTGTTTTGCCTTCTTTTTGTGTGTCTTTTTATAATATGCGTATAATTTCTTTTAATATTTAATATAAGTTTAAAGAACCTTATATACTAACATCATTCGTATAGATTCCACTGGAGTATTACTCGTCGCATTTTGATCTTTATGATGACCAATTCGTACTTTGAATTCCGCCTTTAAATATGGCTCGTCCATACATGGAAATGCACGACGTGCATACGTAGGCGAAAACTGAGTTACGCCGATTCGTCTAAAGAATATATATTTTGCAATATATTTTGAATCAAATGCAACGATTGTTAGAAAATTTATTTTTATCAGTTATAAGCAGATACCTCTGAATATAATTGTTCTTTTTACTACTGTTGATAAATATATATATAATAAAAAATATATATAAAAATATATACATATTTAATAAAATTATCAATAAATTTTATACATATAATATATTTAACAAATATAATTAATCATAAACATTTCTGAAGGCTCGCATTGTAATTAACTTGTAATAATTGTAGTTCAATGTTTTTCTTAAAATATGAATTTAAAAGAGTTTTCAGAATTACCTAATTTTTCCTTCAACTTCATACAGACTTGCGTAAAAGCCGAAAACATCGTTTGCAATGTATCCTTTAAAGGACAGTTCTATCGTGTATTTTTCAGGTTTCAGTGTGCGCTCGAGTTTAATCGTAAGCATAAGTGTTTCTTGATCATACACATAATATAAAATCGGAATCAATTGACCCGACTTATCCGATAAAGATGCATTTGATTGTACGGTTAATGCATCTGTATGCAGGACGACGAAATCTATTTTTTCAAGTACTTGCAACATAATCCGTACGTGACCATTGTAATCTGCGTTACTGGGATGAGTGTAAATCGATAAATCATAAGACAGGGAATGATTTTCTTGGGTAGTCGGTATCGTGCGGAAATTTCATTCGAATTTTTATTTTTATCTATGCTAGCATACGCGAGTACCAGATTTAGAGCGACGAGAATAATCAATAAAATCACAGAGAACACGAAGCGATAAGAAATCATGATTATTTCTTAACATGGATACATTCGGTCAAATTTTAAAAATTGGTTTCTGTATAAATAGAAGTGCACGGTTATATGTATTGGACTATCTTTCACCTTGCATTACATTATATGTTGTATATAAGATAATGAGATAAACGTTATATATAAAACGGACACGCACACAAATACATGCAGTAGTCACATGTGCACACACGAGTTTAAAGTACGAGTTCTATTTTTACTGAATATTATCATGACATAATATTTTTCATCACTTATTGTAATCACAATCAAACTTCACTAGAAATTTAATTACAATGTAATGCTCAGTAATGTTTAACTGTATCGCGAGATTAAGACTACATTGCCAGATTAAGACTAAGTCGCGTTTACTGCGTAGTTGTTATATTATTTGTCATTAACGATTACGGATAAAGGTAAATCGACATCAACCTCAATCGGACATTTAGTGAGATAATATTTGTCTATCACACTCAGGGTAATGGTGATAACGAGTTTCAATGAGAATACGATAGAATATACTTGTATCTACGCAGAAAGCCGCACGTATATTTTCTGTGAATTTTTTTAAATAATTCGCAATGATATTAAATACTAATGTCGACTGTAATAATTGATTGAGTTTTATACACTGTCAACTATCTATTGATTTATAAGAAAAAGAAACAGATAGATGAAAAAGAGAAGACGTATCTATATTAAATAATTATCTATAAGTTAGACGTAAAATGTCTAAGATATCACATTTAGATTAATAAGTATAAAAAATGATAAAGTTTCTGTTTGTTGTTAAGTAAACTTCTCGAATTTTCTGATAGATTTAACCATTAATTTATTTTTTTCATTAGTATAATAGATTTATTTTTTTCTAGATTTCTTTAAATTTCTTGTGTTTATTTATGTTATATGTATACGTTTATAGCACTTGCAACATTCCTTGTTCGGTTGAGGTGGTGGCTGCTAGTTAGTGACAATGTTGAGGTTTTAGGCACAACTTGCTGAGATTTGCATGTAATTGCTGTAGGCTACACGTCTTGTCTCTAGGCTGCGTTGAGGTTTACTTACGTTCTGTACACCTTGATATTGGAAGCCTAAGCGATATCCTACTTTGTATGGTCTTTGGTGTACTTGTAATTTATTTATAGAAACGATACGTGTAGAGAAAAGCACAGACACTAATTTTACAGATCAAATCAATAATTACGGAAATAATTATAAATACTGTAAATTTAATACTATCGTTTAAAAAGTTAATATTGCTTTTTTCATATCAAACAAAAAATATAATACAATATATAAACATTTCTTTCGTATATATTAAAAACTATTTTAAAGTAATATAATGCTTAAACATGTGTAAATTTGATATTGTGTAACTAAATGTATACAAACGTGTAATAATCATATTATTTGAAACATTTTTATTTAATATTTGAAAATTTATTTAAACAAAATTTTATAAATCTAAAAAAATTAAACTGTTTGAAATTGCGCAAAAAATTTTACTTATAATTCATATATTTAAGTCATCTTTATTTGATAACGCATGCATCATTTATTTTTCTGGATGAAAAGGTAATCCAGATAGTTCAAAATGAGGTGTCTTGTTAGACGGTTGTTTTATATATTTATAATAATTTCAATTTTTTTTTTAAATTGTGTTAAACTGTGAGAAAAGGCGACACAAACGCCTATGGACATTAAGAATTTCTCGCTTAATAACGAAGAAATAATTTACGGGATCCAACATCATAAGATCACATTATGGCGAATACTTTTATAAATATGACAATTTGTAACACGCATAAATTTCTAACAAATTCTCGACTCGTATTAACGGACTATCAGTAAATTTTAAGAATATGATATTTTTTGTAAGAATTATAAATTACGTAACACTGTTATACTGAAGAAGACCGCGTGCGGTTGAAACGTTTATATGGAAGGTTTTTGTAATTTTAATATATTGTGTATGAAATAAAATTTAATTAGATACATCTTAAATATTGCTCGATAAGTTGGCCTCTTTTGAATACATTTGTTGTAATCCAGATTACTTTGATAGTTCTCAGGTATCAAATAATTTACCGTTAAAGAAATTAAGAGATAAAATAAAATGATAATTATGTAAATGATTTAAGTCTGATTTATATGTATTTAAGACAAATTTGGCTACATTTGCCAAAAAAATGCAAAATGTAGCATTGGTTTGGTGAAAAATGCAAATTGTCATTTTAATTAATAAAACAAATCATTATAACACTGTATGTTTTAATATTTTAATTTCGAGAAAGTGTTTTAAAAAATCATTATAAAGTGCGCCAATCTTAATAAGAAATTCAGTAGAGCATTTAATTATAAATGATAGGGATATATATCACATTATAGGGGAACGCATAAATGGGAAGCGATATGTATATTAGGCTGACACGACGGACGACTTAAAGGAAGTTGCAGTCATGATTGGCCTGCATAATGAAGAAGCTCGAACACCATTATACTCGATGGCAAGCTTAAAGTTTCAGCACCTATCGGTTAGATACCTTGTGACAATCCTGAAACCTTGCATCGTTGAAAAGCAATCCCTGGGAAAGTTTGCCCGGTTTATCCCAGCCTTCTTCGTATAAAATTGCTGCGTGTGGATTTGCATGATTTTTTCCTTTTGTCATTGAGACTTCCTTTGAAATTCATTGTATCGATAATGCGTAAATGTGCATAATGTGTGAGCAACTGTTTTAATTGACTAGAGTGGAAAATATTTCTCTGTAATGTTTACAAAATTTGTTTAACAAATGTAATTCTTAGAATCTGAGCATGTAATTAAAAAATATTATTTTATCAAACACGATTATTTAAAAAATTATAAAATATTGTTTAAAGACATTTTTTAAATGGCTTGATATAATAATATAATTGAAAAAGAATTTCTTTATTAATATTCTTTAGAATTATATTACTCCAATTTCATATGTGTATAATATTTGTCGCACAAAAAATGTTTCATCAAATAGATAAAAAGTGTATTTAAAAAATGTCAAATTAGCTTTAAGTACTTCGAAGTAACGTTCGTAATAATCTTCCTGACAAATCGAATTATCAATTGATAATAAATTTCATCGTTCTCTTATCAAATGTCTCATGAAGCAAAATTGTGTATGAATATCAGCGGAAATAGTTTAAATTTTAAAGAGATAGGCATTCCGCGAATCATATATATTAATTATAAATACTGTAAATTTAATATTAACTATTGTTTAATTATCTTCTTACTCTTAAAAATTTATATAAAAATTGCATAGCAAGATATTTTTATTTTCTACTTAAGTTTAATCTATAGATTAAGACTAGATAATAACAGTTTTATATTGTATAATATATAATAATATTGCATTTTTGAATATGTACTATGGTTATTTTTTATCTGTTAATTTTTTTGCGATATTGTCTCGCAATTCCAAGATAAGATTCAACTTTAATTTTAAACTTAAATGCAGATAAAAAAAATTCAAGAAGTTTTCTGTAAATTCATGTTATTGAATTATAAAAAGATAAAAATATATAGTGCTTTTATTTTGCAATCTTTTTAAATGTTAACGTATTATCTATAAAATAATATATATATATATATATATATATATATTATTTTATAGATAATACGTTAACATTTAAAAAAATTGCAAAATAAAGCACTATATATCTTTATCTTTTTATCTTTATACATATATATATATATATATATATATATATAATTATTTTTGCTATTTAAATCTATTGCTATATATACATTCATCCTGTTTTTTTCTCTAGCCTTTTTTTCAATATTTTCTATTTTTTGTGTAATAACTATTTCCGCAGAAATAATTAGATTAAAAATAGATTGAATTTTTTTAAAATCGAAAAATAAATAATAATATTTCCTGTATACTCTGCTTTTGCTTCTGTTACATACGATATACGCGCATGTTATTCGCGCATCAGAGAAATGCAAACATGTACCATGTAAATCAAATTACGCTCGCTTGATCGTTTTCGACTTTCAATCCAAAATTGCGTCATACTAACAATTGCATCGATACATAGTAATAATTCGTTTGTATAAAAAGCTACTTTTCAATCGAATTGAGATCTATAGATTGGTATTTTCTCATTATTTTGTATTTTGAACATATTTTACTTTATTGTATATAGATATATGCATGTATATGTTTGTTAAGATATATCATAAAAAATTATATATCAGAACAAAATTATGAACAAAATCAATAATATATTCTTATAATTATAATAATATTCAACAATATCTACGAAAGAGTAATAAGTGATAATAGCAATAATATGCAATAATATGTAATACAACCAATCTGTAGAAAAATGAAGAATAATAAAAATCAACTTTTTCCGGTTTATTTTGGAAATTCTACCATCATTTGCTTGATAATTATCTACTCAAAACTCAAGAGCGATGTTGGTATTCCCAAATTGATCACCTCGAGGATTGATCTGGGCATCGTTTCAAAATTCACTCACAATCGGCAATCACGATGAGAAAACTGATACCAAAAGACGTTATTGTGATTCTGTAGAATTGTAAGTCTTGTTAAAATTCACAATCCACTTGTGTCGTACTCGAATATCCGATTGGAAAAAATTACAATAAACTTTTCTAAAATTTTTTCTAAAAGTTGCCATACAGTCATTTATTGTGATTTGCATAATGCGTGACAAACCAATTTCTCATAAATATTTATCGTTGTTTTTCTTTTTAGGAATTTAACAAAAGAGATTATCTATTTTCCCGATATTAATTAATAAAACAAACTAAAGTTAAGCTATTAAAAATTCTTGTCTTCTGAAACTTTACCTATAGCGTTGTACCTGTCATGGCTTAAGCTTATACAACATTTTTTATTAAATAATAATCCGGCGCAGAGCAGGGCAAATTTATTGTTGCAGTTAAATCCATGTTTAGATTAATTTGCTTTTTTATAAAAATTACTATTTTACAATATTCATACAATCTATAAAGGCGCACAACAGATATAATAGCTGGAATTAACAACAAATTTGTTAACACACAATTTTTCATATTTTTCATATTTCGATCGTATATATAGTGCCATAGAAAGAAATATATAGAGTTTTCTTGGCGATTTCTTTTTAGGTGCATAATTTTTATTCAACATTTTAAGTGCTCCAATGCGCCGCGAAATTTTCGCCGAGTTCAAAATCTCTCGTAAAATGACCAATTAATTAACATTAATTTTCGATTCAAGTCGCTTGCGAAGATTCCTCGAGTTTTCTTCGAGATGCGAAATCAAATCAAGAGACGCGCAGATCTCGGGGTAAGATGGTCGAGAAGCCACCGCTGTACTTGGACGAAGAGGAAGCGACGAAATAAAAAGTCGAGCATTTAGCTCCGGACCGAGGCCTAATTTAGTCAGGCCAACGAAGGCGAGTTTTGCTCCGGGGGTCTTTGCAAATTGCTGCCTATACCGCCTGCTTGCTTGTTCCCGTAACATCGATGACGGAAGCACGGTGATTCGATTATAAGGCTGTTTGAAAGCTTCGTCCTATCTCTTCTCTAAATGTACCGATGTCGCTCGCGCACAATCATATATATAAATTTATAATATACGCGTGTATTTATATAAATTTATTGATATTTTAATATTGTCTACTGATCCAACGTTTTACTTTGCTACGCCATTTAATATCATTAAAAATATTTATCATTTTGAGAAGTTATTGTGGGAGTTTACGTGATATAATGACGTGTCGATTGTGATATAAATGTAATGGTCTCTCTGATCGATAAATCGCGAAAAACAATATATTCCATTTAGATTACTTTGACTCTGATTATTACGTTACAATTTCATATCAACTGTGATTGTGAGTCATATATTAAGTTAATCAATTGACATTCGCGATATTCGACGTGTAAAAATCAACACAAAAAATCTTGCAAATATTGATTAATAAAACGATCAAATCCGATTTAATAATGCCATTAATATTTTATTCATAATGTAAAGTGAAGAACGAAATTTACCGTCCGGGACTGTTGAGTGCACATTTATGTGATATCATGTTATGGTTCCTTGAGTGCTTGGCTTTTTAGAGTACTAATTGAATTGTTTGTACAGTGTATAGTTTGTTATGAAAGGCATTTCCAATTTTGAACGTCATTGGAGAACTAGAAGGTGTCTTTTATAAAAAGAAATAAGATTGTTTACATTTTGTTGCTTATTTTAACTATAGCGCATCTCTCTATTTTATATATCATATACTAATATATAATGCACAATCTTTTAAGTCTCTATCATTAAAATTTTATTATCGATTTTTATTACGTATTACAATTTTCACCCTTTATAAAGGTTTACACATTTTTATCCTCGAATTGAACGCTTAAACAGTTAATAAATTATGCATTTTCCTCCAAATAGAATTTTCATTTGTTATTTATGCGCTCCTGGTCTTGAAAAGATGTTTACTAAAAATATTACGAGAAAGTAGAGAAAATCGAGTTGACCTAAAACTGCAGCTTTCAATGCATGTGTATGATTATATTTGATTTCTTTATAAAATGCATTTTTGTATCGAGGCGGATATGTTTCTGCAAAATCTAATTTACATTGGAAAGCATGATATCGAGATATATGTTATCGTTGATAAATTAAATTACAACGTATTTGCATGTCTAAAAATGTTCAATATTGTTTTAGCATCAAATTTAAATATATAAATAAAAGATGAATAGAGAGAGAGAGAGAGAGAGAGAGAGAGAGAGAGAGAGAAGCCAATAAAAGAATCTTTTTCGTACGGAATCTCTTTAGATTTTCATTAAAAGAAATAGTGTTCTTCTTCTGCGCCGTCTACATTTTACCTGCTTATAAAATAATCGTGTCGCCAATTTAGCGCTGAATTTCGATGTTGATTTTAGCGAGTCACGTTTTTCACGAAAGTCACGTGAAGAATATTGGCAGTGTTGTAAGCGAAGTTAAGCTCGGCTGTGCGAGCGAGTACTTCCGTGTATCTTTATATATCAGTGCCCAGAGCTGCGGCAGGAGGGAGCGTTCTTTAGATGACCAGGGTGGTCTTTGTGTCTGCGCGGGTAAATATTAGCGGAGGATGATGAGAGCCTCTCTCTCCCCCTGTTCGTTCTTTCTTCCATTCTCCTTCTTTTCAACGACGCGTCGCAAACTTGCCCTCTTCGTCGCTCCGCCGGATTCGTTCATTCCGTCGCGACGTCATTCTGGAGACCGGAGGCTTTTACCTGTCCTTTTCAAACCGGACGGATCTCGCCGAAAATTCACTCTAATATTGCCTCCATTGAAGTATGCACTCACGACGGCGCCTTCTCATCCGCCTGATAGACACCGTCGGTTGGAAATTGCGTACTCGTTCTGAGAGTCGAGTCTAATGCTGGTTTAATGTAAATTTTTGCCGATAATTGAGTACTTGTGATCTTATAAATAAAATTGATAAGAAGAAAGCGAGAATAAAAAAATTTAAGCTATTTTAAACTATGAATAGTTGACATCTGTCAACTTGTGCCTGTAAAGTATTGATCCATGCACTGATTTTGTTGTGCAATTATTTTCCCAAAATCTTTTTGGGTATCAAAATATCCTTTCTATTAGCGAAAGCTCTCTGACATTAATAGCATTAAGGTTGTCTTTACCGTGTGTGTGCTGTTTTGCTCAATAAAGTGCATGAAACATGCCTAGCTTGTCTCAGGGGCACACCTGTCTCATGAATAGCGTTCAACATCGATGAAGATCGTGCGATTGAGTACTGTGGTCCAAAATTAACCCCAATGCACGGAAAGTACGGAATACAGTGCGGTGACGTCACAAACGACGTAGAACCTGGTTTTGTTAGTGTGGTTCCTCGTTTCAGATAGATCGAATAGCACATCCGCACCTTAATGCGCATACTAACACATATTGTTCATGCAGTCATTGCCATCCAAGGACAACTCGGTTTGACTCGGTAATGAACGTTTCGATAGACGGAATAATTTTCTGCAAAAAAAAAATATATATATATGCACATTGAATTGATCGATTATACATGTGAAAATATTTATTATCAGCACTCCTTTTTATATAAAGATTCTTATATATTGAGGTAATTATAAACTCATTTATTTCTCCTTTTGGCCATTTTTTTATTCGATTACGTTTTCCTTTAGACAATAGTGCATTTTGGAAAAGTTTGAGAAAGATTATATTATTAAAATTCGAAAAATATGTTTGTTTATATATATATATATATATATAAATTATATAGATAAATTCCAAGCAAACATCTGCTTAGATAACAAAGGCACAAATTTAGCGATAGTGCCTTGGCTTGCATTTGATCTCAATTAGTCTTTTGATGTTCATGACATCGCGATATTCCACTCATTACTTCGTGTAATGGGGTTAATTTTGGGGCTAAGGTCTGTCGCACATCCACGTCAAAGCGAAGGAAAGGACAGAAGCTTTGTGTGCAGTGACTGCTGTCAGGTACGATTGCTGCGACTGCACTAGATACGTGAAACGCATTTTCCAAAGCCGTTCATCAGCTAAATCAATACACAGTTAATCGAATGGAATTTTTGTGTTTAGAAAATACCTGTCCAGTACACAGTCAATTGCATAATTTCGAGTAATAGTTGATAAAAATTAGAATACAATAGCAATTGTTTAAGTACTTAGACCTAGAATATTATTATTTCACGGTTTTTATTACTCCATTAAGAGATTATTATAAAATTTTTTTACATCTATTATTTTCTCGGTCAATGCAAAAATTGATCATGTAACATTATTTACAATAATGCACAATTATGTTAAATCGATGTCGATAGTACGAGTGCGCAAACATTAATTTCGGAGAATGCTGCAATTAGATAAGGAGAAATTCTGATTGATCTATTTTAATGATAGTTCGCAGACTTATCTAATCGCTAGTTCGTTCTCGTTGTTCTTCCGCTCTGTATTCATGAAGTTGGTCGGTTGCCGCTCATCTGTAACAGAAGTTCCCCAGTGCAAACTTGCCTTTGACAAACTATGAAGTGTCAACGGATTAGCGAGCAGCCGATACGCCGCATAATTCAAAAGAGAAGACGCAGCTGCGAGGAATATAAGTTTGCGCGGCAAACATGTAAGGCTATTTGCGGTTATTACACCCCGCTTTTAATAAAAAAAAACTTGTGTTATAACTTGACACTTGAACAACAAAACTTGCGAGTCGCTGTTGCAAATAGTTGTCAGCTGATTCGCCCAATTTCGTACTGCAATGAAAAATATTCTTACGTAGTTTCATCTACGTCCCCTGCAACAAAGTTATTATTAGCGAAGAAAGACGTGTGCGATCTCAAGTTTAAAGCGAAACTCGTCTCGAAGAGATATAAATATATTATAAAATTAACCTTTGTTCTTTTTTTGTTCGAGGGATATAACGCTTTTTTGACTCTTAAAATGTCTTTCTATTTTATTTCACATCATTATCTGATATCTAAATAAAACAGGAGACATTTCACAACACGTGTGCACGTATAAATCAAAGATATCAAAATATTCGGTACAGAAATGTGTCATAGCAAATAATTAATATAATCAATATGTATTCTTTTTTGTTTTATACATATACTATATGAAACCACAAGCTTTACAAAAGTTTTGAATATTAAAATCGGCTTATAAATAATTTTAATTTGATATATCTATACTTTACATTCTTTTTTCTCAATTGATTATATGTCATTATCTTTGGAAGAAAAAAAATGAAATATAATTGAACTTTGCATCACAGTACGAAACTATAACTGCAATGTTTGAAGTAGAATATACCTGCATAATTGAAAATCGACGTTAATAATCCCGGATAATCACAGGGATTAATATATCACACAGAGATTAAAATTGGAAAATAATATAATAAATTTGGCGCGAGATAATGAACAACGTGGATTTGTAGGATCATCTCTTTTCGCCATAGATAGATATACCTCTTTTTGTGACAATCAGCATGCACAAATAAATATACGCGTTCCGCGGCGCATTGCGACGATTAAATTCCTCCGAAATTACAACAGAGACTTAAAATCTTCCATTCGCGATCTATCACGCGGATCCGTCGCGATCGAGCAGCCCGCCGTTAATCGGGGTACTTTAGCGGCGCCGCGACTCGCCGATGATTATGATGATAGGAAAGTAGGTGAATTGATAATGACTCCATGAGAAACGATTCATCCCCCTGCACGAAGAGCGTTCCTGCGCACGCGTGTGTCGGAACGGGGTTGACGACGGTGCACGGCGTCGCGACGCTCGCCGGCGCTCACTTGAATCCTCGCCGCGTGTTTGTCGGGCGATTCGCCTTGAAAGATCCGAGTGGTCCGAGAACGACGGCGGCCGGGGAGCCTACATCTGGACCGGAAGTCTCTCGCGAGACCGAGGCACGGACACATCGATCGTGAAATTAATCGTGCTTCGTATATAAAATACCGCATCACGTGTCAGTCGCGAGATACACGCACGTGACCTGTCAATACTCTTTCCTGTCAAATCGCGATCGTGTCCCCCGGGGGTGTTCTCGAGTACATAATGCGGAGTGCGAAGGAAAGCGGCAGCAGAATCAGTCGTATAGGGACATCGCGCGCGAAAATGTCCCGGTGGATCGTCAAGTGTCCGAAGTGATCTAACTCAACAAGGTCAGTCCCTCTCGGGGATTCTGACGGATTTCCTGTCGGAGAGCAACGTCGAGCGACTTATCGTCAAGGACGATCGAATCGATTTGAAGTGGCGATTCCGCGACAGCGATCGAGGGACGATTATTCAACGTATATCGTATATAGATGCGGAGTCGCTCGAGAACGCTCGAGGATAAGGTAGCAAAGGTTCCCGCGGGATCCTTCTTAAAATCCTCGTGAACGACGCATCGAGTGCCGATCGACGATCCGTCGAACAATCGATGCACCAATGCCGCGAAACGATCCACGACGGCCGTCGGTCGTCGAGCTGCCAGGTGACAGTCGTCGCGTGCCGATCGGAGAACTTGGCGCCGACGCGTGCACGGAAGATGGAAGTAAGATCTCGCGTTCGTGCGTCCGCGTGGAGTACTAAGGGCTGAAGTTTCGGAGTTCCGGTGGCCTACTTCGGCTCTGTCCTCCAGACGGAGGGCGCGCGAGGTGAGGCTATCACTTGGTTACTTGTTGCCGTGCGTTCCAGCCGGATATCTGATTGGTCGATCGCACGAAGAGGCGAATTTCGTCTGCACGTCAATGTCTTATCCTAACTGCACACATATCCCGAAGACGTTCAGAGAACATCCTGAGGATGTTCGAATGTCCTCTCGATATCCTCGGAATATCCTCTGAATATCTTTCCTCTGAATGTCTTATGTTGTGCTATATAGTCTAAGAGAGAATGAGAATTTTAGCCTATTATATCCTCTTTAATATTTATCCTTTCTTTTTCTCTCTGTTTCTCTCTTCAATTATCTGTTGAATTATATAATATTATTCTGAATCTTATGGTATATCATTTTCACGCATTTTACTTAATTTTGATTAGATACGTATTTATATGTCATGCAATAGTAAAGGTAAAGTAGAAGTTGTAAATTACATTTTCAACAATTATTCGAAATGCTTACAACACGAGCTAACCGAGTTAGAGAAACACATAATATTTAATCGACAGTTTAATAAGTGCCTCATGTTCAACCGATGTTATTCGCAATTGAGTTTCCAGTTCGTCGCCACATTTTGTAGTTCACCATGTTGTTCCGCTTCATATTTTGTTCGTACCGCATGTCATGTCATAAAAAAATATAAATTAACTATTGATATAATATGTCAGTCATACTTTAATAGAGTTCATCTTACAAATATGCAAGCAACAAATAAATTTATGCACACTTGAGAGAATATTTTAGGCATTTCAAACATCATTGACATTTTTATTAAAATATTTCATTCCGGTTTTTATGTGTCTTTTTTTATTTTTCAAAATATTTTAGTAATATATCTTAAATTTAAGAAAATAAATTTAAAAAAACCTAATCATTATGTTGATCTTTTTACGTCACTTATTTAAGGAAAATTTAAATTATTTTATGAACAATGAAAATAATTAGTATTGCTAAAATTGCACGTAGCTTATTGTGTGTGTGTGCACCTACATATATTTCAATTCTCTATTTTAATTAAAATCTTTTTCGTATCGTCTATTACCTACTGAATGTTTATTATACTTGTCCAATCTGTTCAATGGCAACGTGAGATGAAACTGATATAGTCGCATCTAACGCTAAATGTGTGATGAAGGTGCGACGGACCATAAGTTTTAAACCATCTGCAAGAGTTGCAGTCTCACACGATCTCATAGTAACCCTCGATGTAAACGAACTCTAGATCGCTTTATTCTGCTCGGCCAGGCGGCATCGAGGTCGTGAGTGACAGGCCGAGCGGGTTTCGAACGGAAAAATAGAGAATCTCTGGCAAAATATGGCTGTCGCGATTGTCCTGTGAAGAGACATTATCGGATCTTTTTTTTCTATTTTTTTTTTTGTTGTTCAGTGCGACGTCAGATGACCATGACCTACGATCGACAGTGAAATGCGATGATAATCGGCGTGTCGCCCATTATCATTTATGCGAAATCATTTCAAGAACGACGAAGACTGATTTGCATGTTTGATCGTAGCTTAATTTTGCTTCTCATTAACATTTTTATAGTCGACATCAGAGTTGACTTGTTTTTTTTTCATAGTTTCACGGATTTATTGTATAGAAGTGATAATGGCAGCGAGAATCGAGATATTAATTTGATACTCCCAGTTTTGCAAATAATTATGTATTAATAGATTCGACGTTTAACAATATATAATTTTATGATATTATATTCGTAAATAATAAATAGGTACGCATATACATATTGCGTTAGACGATATTCTTCTTCATCTCTCTCAAGTATTGTATTCTTCGCTATATTTAATCAACAACTGTCAATAAACGAAAGGTACATGTATGAGGGTTTATCGAAGAGTGATTGCGTCTGTCGAAGGATTCTTGTTAGCGTGTCCTTTGCTCGCCTTTGGTAGGGCGATCGATAAATATCGATTAGCTTATACTTTGTAGATACATAAACCTACACCTATATTTTCTTGTCACGGCCATTTCGCACGACGAGTGCTCATGATTCGAGAGAAGCAACTTTTCCGATAATTTAATAGGATTATGAATAAAATCAATGACATTGCACTCGGCAGCATCTATTAAAAACTGGAATATTTTATGGTATAAAGAAATATTATTTTATATTTCCTTTTATTTTTAATCTCTAATTTTGTTCAGCTATATTATTAAAAACAGATGCTTAAGATAATGTTAATCTAACTTTCAATGGAATTATGAATAATTTTCAATTAGATAATAATCTAATTTGTTTTTATTATCTTAAATCTTTTTTTATTTTTTGTGACAAAGATGTCTTGTCCTACAATCATTTAATTACGTTTGATGGTAAGTTGCTATGCAGCTCCATTGCAAGAATCGGAGTACAATGTTCAATATTTTATTCATGATGCGTATACGTGTCACGAAATATATTAAGAACAAAAAGTTTGTATCTCTAGAAATATTCGCGCACACACTGCGGTGCATAGGTGATTTGATAAAATCCGTTTCCGAACTGTTTCATTGACCATTCTACATTTCAAATATTCGAACGCGAATATTCAAACATTTATGATGCTAAAAGTTTTTATCTAATGTATATGGTGTAGCAACACATGATTTTTTTATAACAGCATGATTTTTCATGTACATATGTACGTAAGTATGTAGCTCTAGTTAAAATTTAAAACCTCGATGTACTTAGATAAAACATCAATATGACATCATATCAAATTACAGTCAAATTATGTTATATTTTATCCAAGAACAATTTTATAACGGTACGTTTATTAAACGAGTTTCACGAATCTTGTAATAATGATTCTATGATAAGAGGACTTTGCCTGCAAGTTAACTGTAATTAGGCTGTGTCTTAATGAAGAAATCGAATTTTACTCATAAAATTATCAGACTATCTAATAGTGAAAATTTCAATCTCTTGAAAGCTATAGTAATCTATTGTATTAAGTTTTCATTAATCGAAATTTCTGCTAAAATCAGCAAATAAAACAGCTGAAGCAATTTTCGAATATTTTATATGTTTATTATGAAATGCCAACGCGTTTATCGCACAAATTATACATACGGCATTCTCATTCTCATCCTCGAGCACCGCGTGAAAATGAAAATATGACGAGTACCGCACGGGACTCGAATTCATTTAAAGCATTCCGCATGCCGGCATAGCTATTCGTGGCAATAAACATCATATCGGAGATACGCGCACTCCAAGTGATCTGATTTCAAAATAAATATTCTTACGGGACGCGGATATGTGTAGAATGTGAGTGAAGCCGATGCTGTTAACGCGTCATGTGCGTGAAATATTAACATGTTATTTGCGTTTCAGCTTAATCGGACCACGCACTGACAAAGTTATTAATATTGTATGTGACGGTTAACTAGCGATTTAAATATTCATCGATATGTCGCGCAGTGCACAAAGTGCTCACGGTGCTGTGAGATAAATACGAGGGCGAGTATATATCTTTGCACGGAAATATGCGAACAGGGGATAAGCAACCGCGAGCTGCTAATTTCGCGAAATCCGCATTTAACGTGGCTTGTTTCCCGCACTAGACGAAAATGATGAATAAATATGCCGTAGTATTCCCAGACTACAAATTAAATGGTAATGAAGTCCGTAGTACTGTATCTTCTTTTGTTATATATATTTAAGTTACTGATGCTAAGTCGAATATACATAAAAGACATTTTGTATGAAACAAATATGTAAATCACAAACACGAGTATATTTTGCATTATATTATACGATATTAAACATGGAATTTTTAGAATTCTTTTTATAGAGATTTGCTTCTTTTTTAAATGACATAGTTTTGCATTCTTATTCAAGATGATGATACTACTTAATATTTTACAAAGTATATAATTTTTTTGCAGAAACTTAATTATTTAGCCTGCAAAAAATGGATGCGTTAGAAAGAATTAGTTGGGTTTTGGTATGTAAAGCTGAATTCTTTAATATGTTATTATAGAATTACTTTCTATTTTCTTCGCGTTTAAATAAATCTTTATTTTTTTATATAAGTTATTTTTTCAACATTTGCTTTTTTATCAACGCAAGTAAAGCAAAGAGAAAGAGACGAAAATAGAAAAAAAATTAAAAATGTTTCAAATCTATCGCTGAATCTGAATATTAAAGTGAAACTCCGAATATAACTTTCTATATTTACTTATATTTTCGCAACTATTCAATACTGATCTCAATTGAATCGAACTTTTTCTCGCTAGGATTAACGATTGGCGTAGCTGGCGAGGAAACGTAAGGGGGTACGAAAATCGATGTACACACAGACCGAAATTTCAATGCCTTAGCTGTATAGTGTTCTCTCGCGATTTCAAAGGAAAACAAAAAAAAACATCGACGAGCAGCTGAGTCGAGTCGATGGATCCCGAAATGTCGTATAATTCTACGAGTGACGAGCTGCTTTATCGAGCGCATCGCCCGAATTTTTTGTTTTGCGCGGGTACATTTGCCGTGAAAAAAAATCGAAAGAAATAATTACGATTACCTCGATATGCGAGAGCACGCGGCGGAGCACATTTCGCGAACTGGACGATAACGAGCACGAGAGGCGCCGGCATACACGCCACCCTTCGTGAATCGCGTTTAACCCAATACGGGAAAAGCGCGTCACGAATGGTCTCGGGTATATAGCGCAAAGAACGTGTCCTGAAAAGAAAAGAACGTTGCGAACGTTTCTTACTCTCTTTCCTTCTCTCTATCTCTCTCTTTTCCCTCTGAAACCCTTGCAAAAAATGTCCTGTAAAAATATCTGTAATGTCTGTAAAAGATATTCCGTTCACGTCCATCGTATCACCGTATTTCGTATATCGGAGGTGAAAACGAAATTTTTTGCAATTGCGGTGGTACTTTAAAGAAACGTAATACATACACATATATGATACACAAATATATATACATACGAGTATATATGCATATATACGATATTGTAGGGCATGCAAAATATTAGATATTCTAGTAT